CGAGAGGTCCCGACACAGGCCCCGGGAGGCCGCGGTGGGGCGCGGGCCGGGCGGCCGTCGCGGGCCGCTTTCGCTTCGGCTCAGGCGCCGGGAGGCGCAGGGTGTCCGCTCCTCGCCCCGCTGCTCTCCGGGCTCAGCGTCCGGACGAGGAGTGCGGCGGCTGAAAACGCGCGTGGGTCGTATCAGCAAACGGGAGCGGCGTGACAGTGGGGCGCTTGGAAGAGAGGGGCAGAGGGGGCACCGACCGTCCGTTGTCCCGGTGCGTTCATGAGTTTTGGCGGCGGCTGCTCTCCTTAGGGCTTGTTGGACGGGTACGGTTTCCCGCCCCTCAATGGTGTAAACCCCGGGGCAGATATTTTGCTCTTGTGTCACTTTGACCACCAGTGCGTGGATCAGTACAGGGTGTTTGGTGCTCGGTGCGTTTGTGTACCGCCTTCATGGAGCTCACAAACTCCCGCCCTGTGTACAGCAGAGAAAGTTACGCTGCATTTGTTAACACTTTAAAACCGATTTTGGATTCGCACCAACTTGAAAGCTGGAAGAGATTGCCCAGCTCCAGTCAGCTCTGTGTTAAACCATGCAACCCTGGACTGCCTGCATGCGTGCACAGTGCTTTACATGTTTTGTGCTTTGGTGATGTTAAATATGATGTTATGGATTTGTTGTGACATAGTGTGGGGCTTTCTCTTCAGCCTTTCTTCCCCCTTAGGTTGCAGTAATTTCTTTTTGGAGTCACCTGAAGGTATTGTTGCATTTTCCGGATGAATAATATTAAAGGTTTTGGGTAAAGATTGTTTTTCCTTCTTAGAAAAGTGCTTTGCAATTGCTTATATTTACCAGGGTCCACATTTCTTTGACACGCACAACAGTTCGCGCATTTCACCGTAACCTTTTGTGGACGTCAATTTGTTTCGTCAGTTCCCATTGCTTTTTTGCTGCTGCTGCCACGTATGAATTGAAGATGATTTTTTGTTCCCAAAAGTGACCAATAGCCATGCTGCAAATGTAACAGTTTGTATGCTTAAGCAGAACTGAGAGTATTTATGTGTCACTTATTGATTTTTATTTCTTCTGCTTGAAGGAATGAAGCTCTTAAAGCTTCAGGCCTCGTACCATTTCCTTGATGTTATTTGCTGTTCAGTTTCTTTATGAAATCAAAGCAGATGTGGGTAATAAATTGATCACACTTGAAGCGGAAACTGTTGCATTGCAGAGAGAGGAAAACAGTCTTCTGAAATTCCTGATTCTAGCAGCTCAGGAGCCCAATTAACCAGTCAGTGTGCTGTTTTGGAGACTTAAGGTGTAAAACTTGAGTTTGATGTTATTAGTATTTTTTTCTTTAAATTGAGAAACTGTGTGTCCTGCACTTTCAGAAACAAAGAGCCAGCAGGATTATGGGAGTGAGCTGCTTCCACGGGTAGCTTTTCGATCTATCATTTGGTTCTTTCCTTTATAGAAGTGTCTGGTGCTACAGGTTTATTTGTCAGTGGCTCTCTTTTTTTTCATTCTGCCTGTGAACGTTTGGGATCTGGTGACAAGTCACCTGTCTGTCTCAATAAAATAGGAATGTTCTTCCTTTCCTTCTAGTCTTAAGGTGACATCTTTTTGAGTGGGATCTGGGCATGCTTTATGTCTGCAATGTCACTTGTAGGGCCCTGCTGGGCTGGGTGTATGGAACAGAGGCAAATAGGAATGCAGAAAGAGGAGGCCTTGGTGGTTTTGCTTTTGTTTTTCTCAAGGCATCTTTCCTTGAGTTCTCTTACTTTTCATTTATATTTATTTCAGTCACTCTTCCAGATCTATTTAATAGATCTCTTCTAGTATTTTTATGTGAATATATTAATGTATTTTCAAGCCATGTTTTATTTGAAAAAAATCACTGCTTGTCCTGCTGCACAGTGCAGTAGGCTACACAAGCTGTGCATAATGCTGTATGTGAAGTGTTTTCTTGTCATCTTGGTCAAAGCTTTTGGGTTTTGTGGCTTTTAAAATTTAACATCAAAATGGCTTCATGAAAGCTTGAGCTGAACATAGACTGTATGCTGACAGCAGTAACTTCAAATAATCAGATCCTCTACTCAATGTGTTTCCACTCTGGGTTCTCTCTGGGTTCAGCTGCAGCTGAGGGAGCCTTTCTGTAGATGTAACTGATGAAAAACTTACAGGGAAATCAGTTTCTTCATGTTATGCTGCTGAATGGGAAGTTTTGTAAAGTGCTGAACTGCACAAGGCGTGGTGCTGTTAAGTAGATTGGCACTGTGTTATGGGTGATTCATGTAATATCAGCATTCCCTTTGGTAAAGTTCAAAATAAGTGTTTGACTGGGGAGGTGGATGGGAAGGGAAAAGGGATCCTTTGTATTTGTGTGCTGATGTGGTGCAACGTACAAAGTTCAAGTTGAAAAATTCAAATGAAATGTATTTTTTGATGTTATTGTGCCATGTTGCCTGATATATTGAATTTGTCCACAGATTAACACTAAAACCCCACAATGTCCTTGAAACCACGAGTGGTTGACTTCGATGAAACATGGAACAAACTTCTGACAACAATTAAGGCTGTTGTTATGTTGGATTATGTTGAAAGAGCAACGTGGAATGACCGCTTCTCGTATCCTTTAAGTGACAGTCTTCATGTGTCCGTGTGGTATGTTTGGCACGAAGCACATTTTAAGGTTCTACTTTCTATTAGGTGTGTGAGTCAGAAGAAATGGCCAAAAGGATGGGAAATTCTGCATGCTCATGAAGTGCTTGATGTGATACAGTGTTAAAAAGTCTGAGTTTTACTTGCTTTCAGTAATATCAATCTTTAGCTTGCACTATGCTTGTTCACAAAGCTGTGTGCAAATTTCCTCTTTTTGGTAATGAGTTTTCCTTGTATGCTGAAGTGTGCGTGTGGCAGGGCTGTGCACCTCTGACAGAATAGAATCCAAATCTCTAAAGCTAGGGGATGGTGCGATTGTTTTGTTTCACTTACACCTGTCTCCTTCTTCTGCACTTCTAAGTATTCTGTTGACTACCATATTAGTCATTTCTACAGGCTTATAGAAAAGCCTTTCCTTTTATTCTACCTCTGTTATTGGCTCTCTAGTCCTGAACAGTTTAGAGTTGAATGTAGCTGCGATCATACAGTCTTGCTGCTCAAATTACAACTGCATGAAGGATGCTATAGTGAATAGTTGTAATTTTACATTTAAAATGGGCATGTAATAAGACTTAAGTTTCAGTGAACTTCTTTTTAAAGAAACGAAGCTGTGCCCTGCATCTGTGCATTCATTAGCCTTTACAGTGTGGTGAGAAATTTTTGGAGGCTTTGTAGCTGCTCCCTGGCAATCTGGTTAGGATTGGTTTGGTTTAATTTCAAGGTGGAAGAATGGTTTAGACTTATATATCAATTCGCTAATTCTAGCAGGTGAAATAAGAGTCTCCTGGGAAGACCTTTGTATGTTATTACAGCATGAGCTTATTCTGTATGTGGGAGCTGAATTCTCTCTTTCTGATCTCTTCACTGTTTCTCAGAATTGCTCTCCCACTTGTCTCTGATTTTTAGTGTTTATCTGCAAGTATATACAAATTCAGTTGCTTGTAGTCTATGTAGAAGATAGTTGTGGAGATGTACTGTGCAGTAATCTTTTAAGAAGCTCTGTAATTTTAAAACTTTATAATTGATTTGTGGGGGTGTGACTCTCCACCTTGTCTTAGACACCAAACCTTAGACTTTTAGTATTAAGTGTGAATTTCTGTGCTTGCAAATTGTGCTGTAGTAATTTTTTCTAAGCAGATTTTAAGAATTGCACATTTCAGTCTTCCATAAGCTGTTCAATTCTGTAGCTTGAGACTAACTATTATAAAACAATGCCCAAAATAGGTTTAAAATTTAAGATAATAGCTGAATGGGATGTTGGGTTGATTTTTCTTGTGTGTGGGCTTCCATATAAGAAGTTCTAAGTGGACCAATATGTGAACTCTGCTGTTGATCCTGTTTTAGGCTTTACTTTAGTTGACTGAGCATCATGAAGGGAACACTTATGGATAGCAGACTCAGGATTCAGGCTTGGAAGAATCGTTCGGCGTATAATTCTTAAAACATCACTTACTGTCATCTATTCATTACCTTCCTGGGAAGGTGGCATTATTAGTGTCTAATTTGGTACAGTTGAGAGCCTTTGGGAGCGTTCTCTATGGCAGAGTGGCCTGAGGAGCTTCTGTGACTTGTAACTTGTGACGTTTATTTTGTGTTACTACTCCTGCTACGTTGACCAAGCTCTATGCTTTAACATAAAGTCTTCATTCTTCTATACAGTTGTTTTGAAAGCTTTTTCTTGGGTTTTCAGTGTAAAAAGAAAAAAAAAACCCAAGCACCTGAGATATTAATAAGTTGTAGACGCCAGGTCTTCGTAAAACATATCTTGTTCTGTGATAGCTTTTTGCTTTCTGCTGAATTTAATTGAAGTTTGATTTAATGTGTTCCTAAGCACCTAGAGGGATGTTAGGATTGGTTTATGTATCTGTCCTTTCCACAGATCTGACTTAAAAGCAGAATGAGGAAATGTTTGTTTACTCTATTTTTCTTGTTGCTTAATGAGCATAATAAAAAAATATGACTAATATGTTGGAACTGTGTGCTAATGAAATTCATGGAGGCTGTTTGATTGGTTCTAGCACCAGTTGATCTGTGTAATTTCTCTGTGGTGAAAACAATGACATGGAAACAAGGGATAAACTGCAGCAAATAAATGTGATTTCAATCTGCTGCAGCTTGATTCTAAGTGATCGTTTCCTCATGTGCTGCTTGAGACAGCTGAGATCAGTTAGGGTGCACAGACTAACAGTATTTTAGGGCTGGGAGGTTTGTAATATGCAGTCATATTGTAGAACTAATTTCTGTATTATTGTTTTCCAAAAACTTGAAGTAAATGCAGTGTTTTCTTTACTACTCTGAGAATTTTATTGTTAAGCATAGGTTATCTTTATACACAGCTCATTTCAAATTTGAAATGCTAGAATGGCAATGATCTGAGAATCCCAATTGTATAAAGAGTTAAACAATCTTCTAGAGAAGATGACTTGAAAGACTGTATGTCACTTTATTTAAACTGTGAGTCATCTCAGGCCACCTTTGACCTTCAGATTTCCTTTCAGGTTCTCTGCAGAAAAAGAGTGTTTCTGGAGTTGTTACGTCGTCCAGTAAATGAATGATGGTTGCATCTCTCTACTTGAGATGGAATTTACAGGAATTTGGTTATGATATATGTCTAATACAACTTCTAAGGCTTTGTTTGTAACAATGTAGTTGCTTAGAGTTTGTTCTTTAAGGTAAGAGTCTGCTCAAGTTTGAATAGGGGAGTGGTGGTTTATAGCTTTGATAGCTGTACTTTGATAACTGCTGTCTAGCAGTAGAACTTTTTGGGCAAGTAGAACATCAGGATGTTCCTGTAATTGTCTTGATGTTTTTACAGCAGTAGAACTGGATGTTGCACCAACCAAATAACTAGAATATCAGTATTTAGGATGGGGGGGGGGAAGGGGCAGCAGCATGCTTGTACATCAGACAAAATTGTTTGTAAGGCCGTTTAACTTGACGGCCTGCTTTGTTCTATTTTTCTTTGTACTTGCTCTCTCTCTCTCTCTCTGTCTCTCTTTCTGTTAATCCCTCATTTCACAAGAATCCTATGGTGAGTCAGAAACTTTTGATCTGGACATGTATAATCATGTATTTTTACTACAGAAACCAATTGAAAGGAAAGGAAGAGAAAATAAGTCAATGCAGTAGAGGTTCTGACTGAGGGCTCCGTGAGTTTTGGTAGTCATGTGTGTGCTTTTGCAGAGCAAGATTGAATCACACACATTTTCAGAGTGCTCTGCTTTGATCATCTTTAGATTTGTTCAAAACTGTATGTTAATTTATTGTCTTACATAGATACTTTATCCCAAGGGCAGTAACTGAGCATTTGTTGCTTGAATACAGTATTTTTTTTTTTTTTTTTTTTTAATAATAATTATTTTTCTTTGTTTAGAATTGGTTAAGTTTCCCAATTCTGAGGTAATGCCATTCCAGTAGCCAGGACTGGAACACTTAGAAAGCATAAGGCTTTTGATTTTCTTGTGCTTGACACAGGCTGGAGGGCCCTAAGCAGTGGTTTGGCTTCATCTTCCTTAGACCTTTCTCAGCCTTCCTTACAAGGAGCTGGACTGGAAGGACAGATGGCTTTTAGCATGGAAGATAAATTATTGAACAGGGAAGGCTCCTTTTCTCATCTTCTGAGGGACAGCAGCACAGAAGAAATATGCTTTTAGATTATGGAATAAAACATGAGGAATATTCAATGGTTGATCCTTCGAATCTTTTTTTTACTTAAGAAATTCACCACCTTTTGAACACTGCACTTCAAATTGGATTCTGAGCTGAACGATAGAGTTAGGTGAGCAAACAGCAACAGATAAGCCTTGCTACACAATTCTTACGTTCTTGCTCACTGTGATACCTTTTTGAGACTGTTGACTTTTTTGTAGAAATCTGAAGGAACTCACCATCCAGAAAGTGGGAGTCTGTGTGGAGTGGTATGCATGGCTGGCATAGGAAGGTGTGTGAAGTGTCTGTGGCAGTGCTTTTGTGATGAAGCTACTTATTTATTTTCAGCAGGCATGCAAACTGAGTGTTGCTTGTCAAGGAGCAGTGGTGGGCTCCATTTCTTTCCACTTGCACTGAACTTTGACTGTTATCTAGAAAAAAGAGAGGCTTATGTGGAAGATGTATGTTTTCCATGAAATACAGATGCTGGTTTTGTTTTTAAACAGCTGTTTTACAACTAAGACATTTGTTTGCAACAGTAATGGTCAGCTGGATTCCTAACCAAAGCCTGGGGTGCAGAGGCAAGATAAACTCAGATTTAACTGCTACTGTTGTTAGATAAGCTGCCGTTACTATTTTGTGCTGTTGTAATGAGGACTGTGCATTTCCTCTCTCACTTCAAAGCAAGTTACTCCTGTAGCAGATATGTGTAACTTTGTTTTGATGATCCAAATGGGTAGTGTAGTCATGGATCTGAAGAGAACAGTCATGTCCTGTTGACTTGGCAGTAGCTTAGGATTTCTAATTCTGGAATTTACTTCCTCAGTATCTTGCTCTGATGGTGAGGAGCTTGTGGTCATGAATGTTACTGAGGATGCATTCACCTGCAGGTCATCCTTAGACTGCATTTGTTCAGAGGTGATTTATAAGGAGTGATTTTTCTATACAAACTAAGTTTGAGAAAGCCCTTAGCTTGCTGAATTTTTTGTGGTATTTTATTGGTTACCACTGTGCAAGTTGGTGTAGCACAATGCAGTGAATATTGTGTGTTTTGTTCATGAAGGTTTCCATTTAGTACTTGACATTATGAGGAGAGTTCTGATAAAGATCTGCAAGGATGAAATAACCTCAGTTATTTCAATAGCAAACACCAGTTGTTGGTTCTCTGGGTGTTCAATTGCCGTGTAAAGGCTTTTTCAATTCAATTCTACATCAGTATCTTCTCTGTTTTGAACAATACTTCAGTGTCCAAGAGGAGCCCTTCTTTTAGAAAAATGGTGATGAAAGCTTGTTATACTGCTCTGTAGATGAAGCAAGTAAATTGTCAACTGTCCTTACACCTTTTTTCTGCTTTTAGACAGGCACGTGCTTTTTTTAAGGTAGATTAAAGGAAAACAGCTCTTGTGCTTTCTCTTTGTTAAAGAACGTAATGATTAATGTAGGCTATTTTTATTTCTAATGTGACTAGTTTTATGCAGTGCCTAAACTAAATGACAAAGCATGATTATTTTTCAAATCATTCTAATGATTTTTTTTAGAAGTAGTGAGTTTCCCAGAGATACCAGCTGTTGGCTTTGCTTGACTTTATTGAAAGTTCTTAACTATGATTGATTTTCCTGACAAGGTGCTGGAGGAGTGTGTGAAGTGACTTTTTTTTCCTAGCTTGATACAGCTTTGCGAGATAACTCAGTTTCAAGTGTTTGCTGCTGCCCTTTAAGTGAGCAGGCATAATGATTTTGTGTAGCTCTGTGGTCTAAACAAGACTACTAAAATGATAATTGTAGTTAAATAAACAAAAGGTTTTTTGGTTCAATTCACTGTTGTGATGACGTAATTTGCAGCGTTCCACAAAATTGTTCTACCTAGGAAGCTGAGGGTATTATAATAAAGGCATTAAACTGTAAACTGGTATGGATCTGAGGGGGACAAGGAGATGGGCAAGCACAGAGATTGGAATTTGGCTTCACTTCATGTTGTGCTCTGCTGCATGCTTGTTGTCTAATTAACACTTCTTTAGTGGTTACCTTGATCCTTGATTCAGATAAATGTTTGCTTTTAGGTAAATATATTTTTTGTATATGATAAATAAGTGGTAGAAGTCAGGTCAGCACGGGGCTGTCAGAATTTTTGGGATCTTAGATCTAACATTCCTTCAGCTTCCACTACTTAAAACAGAGGTTATAATAATTGATGCTGTAAGCTTAGAGTCTTTGTGAATCAGGGTTTGCACAAACTTGATAAAAATCCATTTGGTCTTCTGTGCTCTATCTTCAAAAATGTTTTCTTAAACATTCTTGTTGGGGGGAGTTCCTGTAAATCCTAAATTTATGTTCGTCAGTTCTCACACTTTAAGCAGATATAAACCTTGACTCAGAGCCCAGAGACATTTATGCTTTGTGTGTGGCCTATCCTGAACCTCTTGGAGAGAGACTTTATACTGAGACAAAGATTTTCTTGGAAAATCACGTACGCCATTTGCACAAGGTAACCCACGCAGTTACTGGTGTGGATAGCACTGCTTATCCTGTTTTCAACTTTGTGGAGGGTTTTTGTGTTGTTCACAGGAAGTTATGCTGGTTTTTTGAGGTTAAATTAGGGATGTCAGTGGTCTGGAGAATATCTGTGGAAGTGAGAGATCTGTCTGTATTCGTGTGTTTTATATACCCGTTGACTTGAGAAGTAAGTTTGTTCTTCTCTGTTTAGTGTTTATATTCAAACAAGTTATAGAAATCTCTTTATATTCCAGATGTGTTGGATGTTGTAATTAGCCTTTCGTTAAGTGTAAAATTTCACTCTAATGTCTTTAAGACAGATTGTGTCCATTCTACTGAAGAAAACTTATAAAATATATAGGAAATAAGGAAAAAAAATAATAATCGGGAGGCAGAAAGCAATGACTGTTTATCATGACATATAACAATTCTTCTGTATTGATATGGCTGTAAATTCTGTGTTATCAGATAAAAAGCCTAGATTTGAGAGAGTCATGATCCATCACATTGCATGTATAGGATGGATGAACAGTGTTTCCTCATACTTGAGCAAAAAGAGGAGTAGATTTATACATACCCCATAGACACAGCTCATTCAGAGAATGAAGAATTGCAAGTATTGCTGAACTTGGGTACATTATTTTTACAAGATAGGCGAGGCGTCGTGGTAGGTAGTTCCACTGATTGCACGGAGGCTACCTCTGATGCTTTGGTGGACTAAATCAGTTAAGAGAACTGTCATGCAGCTCAGTTATTTAGTGAGCTGGATGAGCTCATTTAGGCTGGGCAGGTGCCAGCTCAATGTAAACTGTTGGGAAGTAATAGAAAGCATATGTCCACTTTTTAAACTGGCTGCCCACCATTTGTCTTTGAACTAATTTTGGAAAATCTTTGTGGAATTCATATTGCAGTGGAAAACAATCTTGGTTCCACCTTAGTCTGGTTGTTTTCCTCTTTTATGTAGCTGCTGCTTAGATTTTTATTTTTATTTTTTACTGCTTGAGAGTTTAACACTGCGTACTCTGGAGCTGATTCCTAGGATCTCATCCTCCTTCACTACACCAGCAGCTTCTTAGAACACAAATGGCTGACATTCCGAAAGATCTGTGCCCAGTTTTATGGAATTTATGATGTGTTTAAGTTTGCACTTACATGTGCTCTTTTAATCACTTTTAAATTCCAGGATTACTGGTAAATATGATGGATTTTCAGCTAAGTTCAAGTAATACTTGTTTTAAATATTCACAGTGAGTGAGGTGACTGTTCTGGTGTGCCACATGGCTGCATGGGTTTAAAACTGGCGTGCTGGCACATGAGGAAGTGGTTCTGTAGCATCCACCAGCATGTTGCAAGAGAATGAACCATGCTTGTTCTCTAAAGGCAGATAGGAAATGAATGTATTCAGAGGTTATTCTTTTAGAATGCGAAGCAAAACAACTTCTGCTGTTGTAGTTGGCTTATCAGAACTTCACAGTAATACTTGTTAGTTTTCTGGTCATAGCAACAGTGTTATTTTCAGAGTTGCTGACATTTAGCTGTGGTGGTCTTTCTGCTTCTGTGGCTATTCTGAAACAGTAATCCTATTACAGCTTTCAATTTATGGGTACTACTTTCTTGCTAACTTCAGGGATGTGTGTGCATGCGTTTCTTTATTCACAGAGAGTTTTGGAATCTGAGGAACAAGTACTGGTTATGTATCACAGATACTGGGAAGAATATAGCAAGGGAGCAGACTATATGGACTGTTTATACAGGTAAGCTTTGCAAATGAGTTGTTAAATTTCTGAAATTATTTCTGTTTCATAAACTGAAGAAAGTTTAAATAGAACAAGAGGAGCTATGTGTGCCATGTCAAATTTGGAGAGAATATAGTGATCGAAGCAGAACAAAGGGGAGGGAAAAAACAACAGTTGTGCTTCAGTAGGTCTTTCTGTGCCCTGCTCCTTACCACTAAATTAATTATCCAGGATGATTCCTATCATTTCTAATATAGTCTCCTTTTGTTGTTTCTGATGTTGAGACAGGTACAGTCTAGGTTTGATTACGTGTGGGCAGAATTTCATGATGTCTGCTTTGCCGATGCTAATATTTGTTTCTTATCAGAAATATTTAATTCAAACCACTAAAACCAAATAACATGTTAAAAAATAAAATACTTCCATCTCATTCTTCTGACAAGCCTTTGCATAGTCTGTATTCCCAAGGACACTGTAGGCCACTGTGATGTGAAAACATCGATTTGGGAGTGTGGTCACTGTATTTAGAACAGTGATCTGTTGTTAGATTGCTGCCCTTAGTTGATCTAAAAATACCAAGTACATGAATGTTACTCTGTAGCCTGGCAATCTATCCCAACCATTAGTCACCCTTTTAATTGGTAAATTAATATTTGGAGTTTGTTTTTTTCCACTAAAATCCTTACAAAAGAATTTCTCAGTTCATTTCTAAGTTGTTAATAACTGAAAAATTACCCACAAAAAATGCTTGTGTTTTCCAGACATTTTCCTGACACTAACTGCTAGTTTACACAGAGCTGTTCCTTGGTATTCCTCTGTCAAATACGTGTAGAGTCCTTTAACGTTCTTACAGACTTTATCACCTCTATCTGGAGAAGAATTTCAGTGGTTGTGTTTTGAGGTTTGGATACTGAGATGTATCGCTGGTAGTCTGAAAGGTAACCAGCATCAGTGTTCTTACCTTGTTGGCTGTTTTTCCTGATTAGTCAGTAAAGCGTAGGCCTGCACATTTGTACTTCTAAAGAATTGGTCCTGAGCTGTAGGATCAGGGTTTCAGATGAAAGTTGTCTCAATACTACTATGAGCCTGTGGTATTTTCTTCTATTTTCAGTCCTTGTTTCCACAGTAGGTTCCTGATAAACCCTTTGGATTGTCTTCTAGAAGTAATTTCAAGTAGTTAATCAAGGTGAAAAATGGTTTATCACTTCAGTGGAGAAGCTAATGTGAGATTATGCTGTTTGCACATCTTTTCTGTTATTTGCTCATGCAAATAACAGATTGTGGAAGTTGATGTTAAGATCAGGGGAAGAGGGAAGGAAATAATGGCAAGCAGGTTTTCAGTGCTTTTGAGCCAGTGAAAAGAGTGATTCTGCCTGGCTGTTTCTTGCCACCTCCTTTTTGCTGAATCAAGTAGTTCTGCAAGAAGTGCCTGATGTAGGTTAAACTCATCTATTGACTTGTGGATGCGTTAGTTTCATGATGGATCGGTTGCCTGGTCTAAAATTGCTGACAAGGTGGAACAGTGGAAGAGAAAAGAGAGAGCACAGGACTTGATGTTTTAGCTGGCATAGTAGGAAAAAGGTGGAATGGTAGCTGCTGACTTTCCTAGTATGAACAAAAAAATTGAGAAACTTGGTTACTTAAACAAGTTGTGTTCTGGCTGTTCAGCATGTCCACACAAATTTTGTATGAACCTGTGGGGCTTCCACAGAGACGAGTATTTCAAATTCGTGATGATTATTGATGGTAGCTTAGTGTTTTATGGTACTCTGGAGTCTGAAAATAGATTAGCCCTCAGTGTTTCGGTTTGTCACCACTGCATTATCACAAGTCCTTATTTTCTTGATGCTCTGGTACCCTCACTTCTTTCATGTTTAAAGGTTTCCATAGTATGCTTCTCCTTGTCTTCATTGCTTGTCATTTACCTTCCTGCCTGAAATGTTCAGAAGTCACTAGTCTGATACAGCCTCTAAAATGTGCACCAGTTAAAGCACTTCGTTAGTCTTTTCATGTCTTTTCAGTGCCTGGAGCCAGGCGTCTTGAAACTACTAGTTGTGTCTGGAGCTTTATTTGTTTTAAGTAAACTATACATGTGATAGTAAATCCTACAATAAAATTAGGCATTCATAACATTTTTCTATACAACTGCTCATGAAATTAATTTATTGATGTTAGTTTTGGACTATGTCAGTCTGTTCTCATTTGTGTTTACCCAATTACTGTAAATATTTTATTTAGACTACTGCTACTTCATAAAAATGTGTATGGATTATGGAACCCACAAAAATTCAAGATAGGGAAAGGAGTGTCACTGTAGCATATATTTAATGAGAAGTGAATGTGTGTGTCTTAGCATTTGAATTGGCCTCGTAGTGCCATAGTGAGAAGAATTATGTCCCAGAATGACAGGCATTTTCTTTTCTCAGCAGATTTTGTCATTGAGTGCTACTGGAAGGGCCATTGAGATTCCCTTCAATGCTTTGAGTTCACCTTTGTCAACATATAATTTTTTTTTTTGTATACACGTCGAGAACATAATTTTGAATACTGCCTGGAAAACAAAAACAAAAGGAATAAATTTAGCTTGATGGTCTTTCCTTCTGTGTTCTTTGTACGTTGTTCTTCGTGTTGCTTTGGCTGGAGCAATGTAATTTTCAGTAATTTAATGTGATTTTTCAAGTTGTTCTTGTAATCAGTGATCTTTAGAATGTTGCTCTTTTGTATGTTCCCTTTGGGGATACTAAAGTTAGCCAGGATTGCATAACCTGCTTTTTCTTCTTTTTCTCCAAGTAGAAAATGCTTTCATAATTTACATAGATAATGACTTTTCTGCAATAGTGGAAAAAGTAATGATTGCGTGAGTTGTGGTGCCTAAACTCCATTATAACAAATAATATTTTAGACTGAGAGAAATGCAAAATAATGAACAGAATAGGTAGAAGTGTATGTTTTACTTCAGTGACAACAATAGAACAACTAATTAAAAAAATCCTGAAGTGAAACATAATAGTCAAGAACTTCTTCTACACTTAAAAATTAAGAAATTATCATCACTGTAGTATGGGCTGTTCGGGATTTAGGAGTTTAACTTGTAAGTGCAAATACAATATGTCTGTTTGTTTTGAAACATTGGCTCCTTTAACACCTGCACTGGATACCAAGGAAATGCTGACGGTGATGCAAGCTGTTGTTTAGTATTTGATTTTCTTCACAGTGTTGCTTTAATATGGTATAAAGTGTTTTAGAATGAAAGTAGTCTGCATTAGAAGAATTTCCTGCAGGTAGCAGTGGCATTGCTTGAAAGTAGTTGTCTTTTTTTTTGTCTGATGTAGAGATGTTCCGAATTTGTTTTCAAAAACTACTAGCTTAACTTTTTCTGTGTTTTAATTGGAATATGTTTATTTTTACTAGGTACCTCAACACACAGTTTATTAAGAAGAACAAATTGACTGAAGCTGATCTTCAGTATGGTTATGGTGGTGTGGATATGAATGAACCACTGATGGAAATAGGAGAGGTAGGTATTTCAGAAAATGAACTGCACTACATGTTCAGCTTTGTTCTTTTAAATGTTGACTTCTCCATGTCATGGAATCTGAATAGTTAAGTAGAAGATGTAAGCATGGAATCCTTTTGAAAGTCAGATGGCATTTTTGATGTAAAAGAAAAAAAAAAGAGACCTGTATGGAGGGAAATCAAATATGAGTACTGTTGGAGAACTTCAGTTCAAAATGTTATAATATAGATCATTTTTTGAATAAAATATATTTTTCTTGAAGTGGTGTTATCATGTAGAAAACGTTTTTATGAAGTGCTTCTGTTTTGATCAACTTCAGAAAAATTAGTTCTAGACTTACATTTTTGATGTTGCAAAGTGTAACAGCTTTTTTTTACAGCAACTGTGTTATTTTCGAGTCCAAGCAATTCAGCCATAGCAGCTCAGATTTTAGAAGAAGTGGACATTCAGTGCAATTAAGTGTTGTGCAAGAAGGGATTATGTAAAAATCAAAACAAAACAATGAAGAAAAGTAATTGAAGTAAACACAAATGCGTTGATGCCCACAGTTGCTTAGGTAGTTTGGAGAGATTGAGACTCATTTCTAAACACTTACAAAACAAGTAGTCATTGGTAGTAGTGCATTCTGACATAGCACACTGTGCAGTTCTGCTCTGCAGAAGTGAGGTGTACATACTTTCTGTCATTTCTTGGCTACTGTTGTAGCTGTGTAGCTGAGTAATAAAAGAAAATGAGGTGAAAAATTTCCTGTTGCAAAAAAAAATTAAGTAAAATAAACCACAGAATGGTTCTGGTTGTCTTTAAGGAGATTTTGATAGTATCTCTTCAGTTTGAACTGGGGTAGAACCATAGTCCACAATGCAGTTGAATATAAACTTTGCTTTTGAATGCTTTGTGTGTCTCTCCCCCTTGTATCTGTAACAAATACGTACACAATGGTAGCTAGGTAATTTATTTTAATGGTGGTGGATTTTTTTTCCCCTTTTCTCTCTACCTTTGTGTTTTTCTCTAGAAGAGAAGCAAATATTTTCCTCTCCTGACTTAGAGAAGTAAAAAATGACTTTTTATTTGGCCAGTCAAATCACTGTTCTTCTAGCTTTTGGATTTCGTTGCCTCAAGTAGGAGATCTCTGCTGTCATTGTTGAGAGTAGAGAGATTGTGATGCCTGAGGAAGCATCCTTTATGCTGAAGAAGGTGACACTGTCAGTTCAAGTTGCTAATCTTTTGACAGGTTGGGGGTGGCCTGGAAAAACACCAGAAGCATGATACGCTTTAGATCGAGGCAGTTTAGAAAAGGAACTACTTCTTTTCTACCTGTGCTGTCTGCACAGTTTGCTAACTTATGGCGTCTGTAAAGGTTTGTTAGAGCTTGGAAGTGAATATTGCCTCACTTTTTGTGATGTCTTGATAATGCCTTAAACATTTGTGATTTCCATAAGTTGTGTTTTAGCTGACTCCTTCACCACTGTTGGAGGTAGTTCTTAGCTCTGTGCAGAGCAGTTAGTTTTACTGTTTCAGGGGCTGGGAATGGTTTTGGACTATGTTCCTGGAATGCAGAGTTGGTGTCCTAGTCTATTTTTTATTATCTCCCAAAGGATAGTAGTAGCTAGTTTGCATTTTGTCCACACTTTCTGCCCTAGTATATGTTTTCAGAGAACGAATAATAGGCTTGATAATTCATCTTCTGAGAGTATTCATCTCATTTATGGAGTCATAGATTGGGGTGGGAGTAGGGAGGAGTGGTGATGACACACTTGTCTTCAAGCTTACCAGAAACTACTCTTTGGACAGTATATCCATAGCTCAGAATTTGAATAGGTTAAGTGGACATTCAAGGTTGTGAAACTGCCGCAGGCAGTCTATGGTTTTGGACAACGGCATTCTGGATGCTGATGTCTGAAATTCTACCAGTCACCTTTTGTTAATCTTGCTGCCCACTATTGCTTCCATTTCTCTTGATCAAATACTATCTTTGTAAGCTGTAATAGTGCTGGGTAAATTTTAGATCTTGAGATAGTGATGTTCACCTCCGTTCATTACTAGGATAGGAATGGATTTATGGCAGTTTTTTCTTTGCTCTGGAAAGCAGCGCAGGTCCTACCTTCCAGTAGTTAAAGCACATTAAATTATAGCGCTGTTTATGGCAAATTCAATGTCCCTGTAATTAAAAAACAAAACAAAACAAAACAAAAAAAAAACAACAACAAAAACAGAAAAACTATTCACATTTGACCTTTTTGGCAAGGCATTGGCCAAATATGTCAAGTCTTTGCTTTGAAAGCATTTTCCCTTTTAATGTAGTGCTGTCTTCTAATCTTTGAATTCCTCTAGGGGCTTTGTCCAAAGGCAGTCTTCAATGTTCTTCATTTTAAAATGAAAGAAATTACCGTTCATCTGTTTTTAGATAACTGTCCTTTCTCTATCCAAGAGTAAACAAGCTTATTTTATGTTCTCAGTCTTATAAGAAAGTTACAGAAATTATGTCTAATATTTAGATTTTATAGAAGGAGTGTTGTTGCACTGAAGTTTCATGAGCACATGCTGAGTGATGCTGAAACAGAAACTTTAAAGGCTTTTCAGTCATCTTATTTAAGAGCATGAGCTTGCTTAGTGCTACTGGAGTATGTAACGTGGTACATTCCAGACATGCTGGCAGTATGTATGAGGTGTGTATGGGCATGACTTCAAACACTTACCCAGTGCTCCAGACACTCAGTAGTTCTTGTACTAGGAGAAGTACGAGACGAGAACAGGAGGGCATCTAATGATTTAATTTTTAAATCTTGATTGGGGAATTGAGAGTTCATCCATCTTTATTTTTTCTTTGTTTTATTTATTTTTTTTTAACTGGTGTAAACTTGTGATGTTATGTCCTCACAGCTAGCTCTTGATATGTGGAGAAAATTAATGATTGAGCCACTACAGGCCATCCTTATTCGAATGCTCCTCCGAGAAATCAAAAAGTGAGTGCTTGGATTTTTTTTTTTTGCTTTTACAGTTTGTGGGGGTGTTGTATTGCTTTATTCTGAAAAGTCTGTGGACTCTGATCAAATTATTTTCAGTTTTGATTAAAGGCAGCTTCTTAGCTGATGATGCTGTTCTGTCAGCTTTTATATGTGTAGCTGTATAATTGCTATTTGCTTCAATAGGAGAAAAAGCTCACTCATTGTAATCCAAAAGTAGTGATCTTTTTTGTTTCAGCTACCTGTCTTAATAATAGGTTTGGGGAATAGCTGAAATATTTCTCCAGGGCCCAAAGAATGCCTTTTGCCTTTTTTTCCATCTGGTGCTTACTGCTTCTGGTTCCTGTGCTGTCTGTAAACATAAGCTATTATGCAAGGATTTGCTGAAGCCAGAATTGCTTTAAATGGGACCCAGAGCAATTCTTGCTTATCTGCAACATCTGAGCTTCTATTATTCACAAGATGTGACTTAACACTATTGGTGCTTGACTTCAATTGTGAAATGGAAGTAATTATTTTTGGATTTTGAGGGAGTTTATTTGTGAATATCTTTGTTGCTTCAAGTCCCTGCTAGTTCCAAAATAGATACAGTTGTAGTGTCCCCATGAAATGCTTGCAGCTTTTCAAGTTCTGATTTTCAATCTTTATGCTATTCAACTCCTCTAAGATCTTTTCAAATTCTCTGATTATTTATCCCAGCATGTGTTATTTATATAAGTATTTGTGTGTAGTTTTGAGTTCCATCAGTTTCTACACTTCTGTTGCTGGTTAGCTGCTCTGGAGTTGCTTAATGACTGCAATGATTGTGTGCCTAATTAGCTTAGGTGATGTGGCTAATATGCATAAACTGAAAGAATGAATTACTTTGGCTGATTGAGATGCTTTGAATGTGCACTTGGGTCAGCCAAAAAGCTGTATTCATGAAGCATGAGAAAACTGATTCCAACCATGTTTTGCTTTCCTTCCTAAACTAATTTTTTGACTATTTAGTAAGAGACATCATGTTCTTCTCAGATAGTTTTTCTGATATCAGGAAGTATGTGTTTGCTTTCAGTTGTTGAACCATGCTTCATAATCAGTGCTTAAACAGCTTCTTTTATATGTTTACTGTAATAATTATATTACGTATTTGTATTTACTAAATGAAGATTCCCTGATTCATGTTGAAGGAAATTCTTCTGCCTTTTTACATCAAGCACAGTGACACTGAATACTCATTGGATCAATCTATGTATTTCAGTGGGAGGTGACAACAGAAATCTGTTTAAAACTTGTTGAAACAGATATCTGATGCCTCTTAAAAGTAATGCTATGTAATTAATTAGAGCCTGACTGCAGACCTTGCAGGAGTATTTAGGTCAATAGCTTCAGAGGGTGTTAGTCCTTAAGAGACTGTATCCTGTTAATGCTATTTGTTGAACATTTTCAAACTTTTTAAAAATATAACTTAAGTCATTATCTAAAATAATGGCTCTGTATTTTCTTTTCCTCTCTTCCTAAGAATTCTTCAGTTTGATTTTGCAATGGCTTCATCTCCTTTTTCAAAACATCCATTTGTGTTAGCTTTGTTTTAGCCAACTTGTGATCTGCGTGTTGTGTGAATGGTCACAGAACCACAGAATTGTAGGAGTTGGAAGGGATCTCTAGAGATAATCGAGACCAACCCCCCTGCAAAGCAGGCTCCAGAAAGAACCATGTAGAAGAGAACTTAGTATTATGGGTGTACTTCCTGGTGTCATGAAACACAGGCATCGCTGTTTGTATTCTGAAGATTGCCTTAGTATGTAATATTCTTGTTGCTGTTCTTTGCTATTGATCCACTGGTCAATGTGGTTTACAAGAGATAATTTTCAAGACTTTGCTGCAAACAGATGATAGTTGCCTTTTACCATTGAGTTAAGCAAATCAGAGATTAAACCAAGGCTTTAAAGGAACAGATATCAGAAGGTGCATCTGTCAGAAGTTCAAGAATATGCATGATATTTGCCTAACATAAATAATATAAAATAATAAAATTAATACAAGTACTAATACATATATAATTTGAAATCTATTAGTTGGATGCTTTCTTCAGAGCAAAACTTAAACATGTGCACAGTTTAACTTATTAAAACTTACTTTACAGAAGAGGAATTTAAATGGATGGATGAGCTTCTTATAAACAAAAGTTTTTGCATTGTACATGACAGTATGCAGAGCTAATAGCCAACAGACTAGTCACATGTTTGTATATAAAAGTACGTTTTTACTGTACTGGAAAAGGAATGAGAACTAGAGTCATAAGTTTTGTGTTCAGTGTTTATTGTACAAATGTATAGAACTGGAATTTGTAAAAACTGCTGACTGAAGTCCTACATCGGCTTTATAGAAGCTATAAATTTTGGCAGTACACTCTACATTAAAATTAATATTGAATCATTTATGATCCAGCTGAGCAAGATGGTTAAATCGATCTAAGAGTATGCTGGTGCCGAAAAAGAGCAGGCTGTACCATTGTACCTTTCTTGTGCTGACTTTGGTGCTTACCTAATACCTTACTGAACTGACTCAACAGTTAATGGGATAGAAAGCCATCTTCACTGAATATTTCTCTGAATTGTCATGATTAATCAGTTCAGCAGAGAACTACGTAAGTGTCAGAGCCATGCAAGAAAGATGCAGAAGGCCGTGACTGAGCAAAAGACCAGGATTAGCCTCCTTGAACAGCAGAGAGTTGTTACATCACTTAAGCCTGTCTTGTCTGACTGCACTTCTCTTAAAATAGAGTTCTGAATATAACACACTTTCTTCCCCCTCCCTCTAGCCCAAGCACTCCTTCTTCAAGTCAAGCTGAATATCAACTTAAGCATTTTTGTTTCAACACAACAGGAGGCCGACAAGATCTTGAATTGTGAGAAAATTCATCATGAAATTCTTAAATAATTTGGAAGCTATTCAGGTGGTAGCTCAAATGACAGTGTGATTAGTGCAGACTAACCAGAAGAGGCTTCTCTACTAATGACAACTAACACTTTGTAACTAACTGAACCTATTCCTGTCTAAGTGGATATATTTGTCATTCACCTAAAATCTGCTGGAAATTAATAAATTATTTTTTAAAAAAATCCCAAATAGGCTCTTTTGGTCCACAGTGCATTGTGAAGTTAATTGAACTAGATAGGCCATTGGTCTGACACAGCAGAACACTTCCTTTTTGTGATGGAATCATCTTTTAATGAATACAGTATTTATTGTTTTATGCTTTCCTTTATATATGTTATTAATGGATATAGTAATAAACTGTACAGTCAGTACATGTTAAACTTCCACTGTTACTATTAGTTTTAAGGCTAAAAAAGCCTTAAACATAAACAGTACAATTGTCTTGATCTTCTATTTTGTTGTTTTCTCCATTCATTTTTGAGAAAAAGAACTAGATAATCAGAATTGGAAGAGATTTTGTTTCTATTTCCTTGTTTTAGCTAGATTCTCCACGTTATTCATACATTCCTTCCTACCTTACCTGTGACATCCCTACTTCAAATTGTGCAGCAGCTGTTTCTGTAGCAGTATGTGTTTGTATTGCCTGCTGACTGCCACCAACTACAGAATATACGGAATGGGTGTTCACATTGATGGGTCACCAGTTCCTTGTTAGTGTTCAGTATATTCTTATCACTACACCTCCCATGGCAGTAGTCCTTTAAACTTTCTATAACATCTGAGATTCCTGTCACATTTTCTGAAACTGGCCATTTGCTGTGTGAATTCTTGGGAGCACAGTGCCATTTGAGAGTCATAGAATGATAGATAAGAGACATACTCTTATCTTGGAAACTGTGTGGCTTTTCGGATATGGTCCCTATGAAGTTCTGTCAATAAATTTTGCAACAACTTTACTGCAAATGTTTAGTGCTCACACATTGAGGAAACTTAGGTTAAACTGCTTAAAATTCTGTGAGTATTGAAGGAAAAAAGAACTGGGAGCATGGTTGTCTGTTAAATACTTTTTGGCAGTTCTGCTTTTTATGGCAGGAAAATATGATCTTAGTTAAGCTATTAAAGTTGTAAAAATCGGCAAGCTTTGTTATCAGGTGAATTGAGTAGTGTGTAATTTTCCTGACTGTAAGAATTTTGTTCTATATCTTTCATCTGATTAGTGACAATGTCCTCTTGGTTCAGAAGCAGACTTCAGTTCCTGATTCTTTTTATAGTGTACTACCAGCTATTCCCAAGAAAGCCAGTTCCCTGTTGTATTCATTTTCCTATATTGTCAGCATGCTGTATGGCCTCTGCTTCTAAAACCTCTCTTCTTTCTTTCAGTTTGGGCCCGAAGCCATGTCTTCCTCCTTCACTTATAAACTTTGTTCAAATTATACACTGACCTTTCAAGTTCCTTATCTTAACTTTTGCTGCCCCATCTTCTCGGGCATCTGCATAGGCTAAGGTTTGTGAAATAAAATGAGCATAGGGGGAAACTGGCTTTTCCACTGTTAATGTAATGTTTCTTGTGTTTGTCACCCGTATCACAGAAACCACAGAATCATAGGGTTTAGAAAGAACCTCTAGAGATCAGCTAGACTAAACCCCTTGTAAAGGAAGTTCCCTAGAATACACTGCACAGCATCCAGGCGTGTTTTGAACATCTATGGAGGAGCAGATTGTACGACCTCTCTGTGCAGCAGCTTTTAGTGTTCTATCACACTCAAAATAAAGAACTTCTTCAATGTTCAGATACAACTTTGGGTGTTCCAGTTCGTGATCATTGCTCCTTGTCCTGTTGGTGGGTAGCATGAAGAAGAGCCTGGCTTTATCAATTTAGTTCTTGTACTTTAGTTTTCTTCTAAACAGTGATGAAGTCCTATCTTCTCTTCTCTAGGCTAAACTGTCCCAGCCTTTCCTCATAAGAGAGATGCACCAGGTCCCTAATGTTCTTTGTGGCCCCCTGCTGAATTCCCCATCTTTCTTGAGCAGGGGAGCCCAGAACTGGACACAGTTCTCCAGATGTGGCCTCATCAGGGCCCAGAAGAGGGTGAGGATTACTTCCCTCAACCTGCTGGCCATAGTTTTTTTTTAATGCACATTCCAGGATACCATTGGCCTTCTTGGCTGCAGAGCCATGTTGCTCTGCTATCTTGTGGTTGCTGCAGTGAAGGCTGCCCCTGACCTTCACATGGGCAGCGAGTCCATTATTGGTAAGATACAAGGTCCAGCAGTGCAGCTCTCTTCACTGGCTCCACCACTTGGACTAGGAAGTTATACAGTCATAGAACTGTTTGAGTTGGAAGGGACCTTCAAAGGTCTAGTCCCACTCCCCTGCAAAGACAGGGACATGTACAGCTAGATCAGGATGCCTAGGGCCTGATCCAGCCTGATACTGAATGTCTCCAAGGGTGGAACATATCCCACATCTCAAGGCAACCTGTTGCAGTGCTTCACTACCCTTAATGTAATAAACTTTTTCCTTGTATTTGGTCTAAATATCTCCATTTTTAGTGTGAAATCATTTCCTCTTGTGCTTTCACAATGGAACCTGTTGAAGAGTCTGTCTCCTTCCTTACAGCCCCTCTGTTGATATTGAAAGGCTGCACTCAGATCAGCTTCTCTTTTCCAGGCTAAACAGCCACAGCTCTCTCAGCCTGTCCTCATAGGAGAGATATTCCATCCCTTTGATCATTTCTGTGGTCCTTTTCTGGATGTACTGAACAGGTCCATGTCTCTCCCGTACTGAGGAACTCTACATCTGGACACGGTACTCCATGTAAGGTCTCACCAGTGCAGGGCAGAGGGGCAGGATCAGCTCACTTGACCTGCTGGTCATGAGTTTTTTTGCAGAATGCATTTGGCTTTCTGGGCTGTGAGGGCATGTTGCTATCTTATGCTGTCCACCAGTAACCCAAGCCTTTCTCTGCAGAACTGCGCTCAACACACTCTATGATCCTCCTAGATTGCTTGCATCCATCTTTTCAGGTCCAGAACCCTGCATGCTAGAGGCAGGTTGGACCATTTCATGACAAAGCCCAGCTTTTTTAATAGGCTGAACTCCTAATTTTGTAGATTCTGCACTTCTTGGTATTTTTTGTATTCAGATTTGATGCATCCTGTAGCTAACCCTGCTGGTAGACTCCTCTTGGGTAGAAGTGGTTCCGAGTCATGATCTTGAACTTCTTCTCTTCTGTGACAAGCTGCCACCTCTGCCATCAGGAAACCAAACCTAGTAAAGGAACATTGGAAAGAATGCGTCGTGTGATTACATGTACACTAACTCAGATTTATTATGCTGGTTCAGCTACCAGCAACAGAGGAAACCTCCATTCTATCTCCTATGGGAGGTAGGAAAAAAATCTTAATGCCTATCTGTAAGCTTAAACCTAAAAATCTTAGGAAGCAGCAGTATTTAAAAGAAAAACATAATGTTGTGAACATAGGACTGTGATGTGGTATTTGTCACAGCATGACTGCCTGTGGCTGTCCTGTTAAACCTCCCTAACTTATGGGCATCCTCTGCATTGATTCTATCAATTCCAAAACAAAATGAAATTAGCAAGATAATTTCTCTTTGGTTCCACCCCACTGTTGTATATCAGTGTTTTGGTTTGAATTATTTTTTGCTGGCTTTACTTCTTTTTCCTTTTAAGTAACTGACTTTCCTGTAGTAATCACAGGATTGCAGTTGGGGAACTGACTTTGTCTTTTCAGTGCAGTCTGGGTAAGGTTCTTAGTATATCTATAAATATATATGTATATATATTTACATATATAATCTAAGAAATGGAATTACAACTACTGACTTATGTATGCTTTGAAAAACATAAATTTTTAATTGTATTTACAAGTGTAAATTAAGGAATATGTTATATTTCTTTGTCAGGTGTATGTGAGAGGTGGCCTTTTTTTAGAACAGTTCATGTTTCAAGAGCGCCTCGGTTGTTATGAGAGGGTCTGTTATTTCCAGTCTTTGCAAAAGATTGGATATTGATACTTCCAGTATGCATAAAACTTTTAAAATTACTTTTGTTTTCAACTGAATGGAACTAAGGAAAACATTTTTTTTCATTTGAATTGAGTCATTTGAAGCTAAGAAATTGACCAGAAAATGTAGGGTTTCCTTTTACAATGTATAGTTAAAAGTCATGCCAAGTATATTGTTCTATTTGATATCTGCATGTTGATTGAGTAGTAGATATTCAGAAAATAACATACTGTGCTTGGCAAAAATGATTTTCTTTGGCAGGGGTGGGAAGGTAAAGGGTTATGAATTGCCATCTCAACATCTATTGGAGAGAAGGAAGAGCACATTTATTTATTTAAAGATAATCTTTATGTACTTATGTGTTTATCTTTCTATTTAAGCAGAGGAATTTAGTGGAAAATATTTCTGTCCATTGCTAAATTAATTCATTTTGCTATCCAATTAATTATGCTACATAATTGCATTCTCATGAATGTTTGTTTTGCTAATTTCAGTGATCGCTGTGGAGAAGATCCAAACCAGAAAGTAATCCATGGGGTTATTAACTCCTTTGTTCATGTTGAACAGTATAAGAAAAAATTGCCCCTAAAGGTAGATACACATTCCTGATTTATGGTTTTCATTGTGAATATTAATGTGGCTTATGTATTATTTGCCATTATTTAGCCTTTAAAAAAAATTTCCTTTTTAGTTTTATCAGGAAATTTTTGAGTGTCCTTTTCTGAATGAAACAGGGGAGTATTATAAACAAGAAGCTTCAAATTTATTGCAAGAATCAAATTGCTCACAATACATGGAGAAGGTAAGAGATTTTTCTGTACACATGCAATAACTAAAATCTAAGATTATCAGTATATTATTGATTCAGATTTTTGCTGTTATTTTCCTATATTTGTTCTTTCTTGTATGCTTTCTTGCAGTTTGAGATCATTTTGGTGGTGTGGTTTATCTAAGTTTAGACTACAGACTTTGCCTATGAATATATAGCTTCAAAATAGTTTATAACAAATCATAAATCAGTTGCATGGAACGTAAAAATAAATAAATATAGATTTTTAAAATAAACACCATTAAGTGGTCATTGTTATTTTTGTTATTTCCTCAAAAATTCCTTTATTTTACTTCCATCTATAATAGTATAAGGTACAAGTTTTAGTACTATAATGGTTAAGGAGGATTTTATAACAGATTAATTACAGAGCCTTTTTTCAAATTGTGTATTCCAAAGTTGGTTTCATTATATTTTGCGTTGTGATCTGTGTAGTCAGTTTGTCGTTAAATTACTTGTACTTTTGTTGAGAAGGAAGAAATTAATACGAGACTAGGGAGTTCTCATTGCAAAGCTGCTCTCCATAAGAAGACAAAGGAATGGAGAAGGCTGTGAGATTGCTGGTAATTGTAAGGAGCATAAGCTAACGCTTGGACACCTGAGATGAGGTTCAGGATCAGGCTAAGAGTTTAACTATTAGACTTGTAGCAGTGTCTGAGCCTAGTCTGAACTTCCTGTTCCAAAAGAACAAATTTAATATTTCAGCATCCTGGGCAAGTATTTTTTACCTTCTGTTATTTGTGGCTCTTATTCTTCATATTTATACTGTTCATGGTTCTACACTGTCTGTTCATATTTCATCTACTCTCAGCTTGAAAACTTGTTTGTAGGTTTTAGGTAGATTAAAAGATGAAGAAATGCGGTGTCGGAAATACTTGCATCCCAGCTCATATGGTAAAGTGATTCATGAGTGCCAGCAGAGAATGGTAGCTGATCACTTGCAGTTTCTACATGCAGAATGTCACAATATTATCAGACAAGAGAAGAGAAGTGGTAAGACTCATTGATCTCAAAAAGCATGGAGTTGTTGTTTTACTCATTTAGCATTTGCAATTTGCTTTATTTAGTGACCTTTGATTAGTGTGAGCATTTTCAAATAATATATATTACTTACATAGAAAGCTCAATGAAATTCCAAATGCTATTTATCTTTTACTGCTTAATTCATTATCCTTCTTCCAAAGATATAGTCAAGACCTTCTTTTTCCACTTGACTGCTAACATGTCTTCTTTTGGACAATACTCTTCTCCTTTCCTTATTCAGTTTAAAAAGACACTAAAGTTTTATGTCCTGTAGAATATTTTATGCTTGTGTTTTCATTTGTAAACCAATGGCTCTGTCTTTACGGATTTCTTCATCTTTACTGGGCAGGTCAGGACTGTAAACCTTGGCTTTTTTTAATAGCCACTTTTATTGTCTTGAATCTTTTATGACTTCTCCTCCCAAATTCTTTTTGCAGAAGCAGATGTTCTTACAGTTATATTCCCTCCTAACTAAAATAAAAAATACATTTCCTGTTGACTCCATGCCTTCTGGCCATGAAGGAATAGTTATTCTTGCATGAAGGATGCTATCTATTATCTGAAACAAATTATTTTTCACTGTTAAATTGAAAATGTATATGGTAATAGTGTCCATATTCCAGACAGTTATGCACAATTGATCAGTCTTTTTTTTTTTTTTTTTTTCCCCTTCCATAAAATTAATAAAAATAGCAGTTGCTTATTTACATGTTTTCTAACCAGAGAAAAACTTCAAGCCACCTTTGGAAGAACATATAAAGTCAAGAAGACATCAAAACTAGTCGTAGTCAGCTGCTGCTACCAGCATAGTACCTTACCAGGCTACCTCTACTCTTGGAGTCTGTCCTAGATAAGCAGTGTAGGAAGAATAAGGGAGCCCCAGTGGCAGTAAATACTGGTATTAGCCCTATGCTTTCCTTTTCTTTTGTCAGTGATTCAGTGTATGTTGGTTTTGCTCTTTTTTTTCAAAGCAGTTGTTGTTTCAGTGTTCGAAAGTTCTGTGTGAAATTATGATTCTATATTAAGTGTTGATTTTTAGTGTTTCTAAAGATATTCAATAAAATATGTCTCTGTTACAGACATGGCAAATATGTATACTCTACTTCGTGCTGTGTCAAGTGGTTTACCTCATATGATTCAGGAACTACAAAACCATATCCATGATGAGGGCCTTAGAGCAACCAGCAATCTTTCTCAGGAAAATGTGAGTTTTTTTAGGCAGCTGGAATTGCCTATTTGATTAACATTCCTAATGAAATGCTTACCTTTTTCTTTTTAGTCTATTATGTTCTTTAATTTTGTCTATATGAAATTGGTTTGGAAGTTTATGGATAAATTGTAGTTTCTAACCAGCAATCTTAGCTGTGCAACACATATCTATCCTGAGAGTTGATTGTTGTGATCTAACCAGAAGCAACTACGAATAGATATTTTTCATTATTCCTTGTTTAATGCTGTTATGGCAAGTAGGTCCTTTTCTTGTATGTATATCTTCTATGCCTGAGTCAGTGGCATTTGTTGATCTGGTGTGATAGCAATCATCAGTACCACTTAGTTTAATTGTGTGTCATGTGTAAAGACGTGGCGTCCTGTCCTGATTTGTGTTTCTCACAAGTAGTTTTGTGGTCTCATGTTTGCATTTGAATTTTGAAAATATGGTAGCTTAATTGTTCTACCAAAGTGGTTGTTTTTTTTTTTTTTTCAATTCATGTGCATTTAAATTATGCAATTTGATTTTTGTTCCTCTAGTATTACTGTTTAGGGAGAAAAAGCGTGGCATTATATTTGTACATTTATACATTTTGATGTCTAGATCTGTAAAGGATAATTACTTTGGCTATTCAGTGGTTCTGTATATAAAGATACATAGATAGTAGCTGTTGTAAATCACCTTTTGTTAACTCCGCAGGAGTCTACGTACTTTTTGTAACTTCTGTGTGCCTTCTGAAAATGGATTGAAGTATTTAGAAGTTTTTTTTGCTTTCAAGAAATTAAATCTACTGAGCATGTTCTTTCAAATGAATACTGCCTACACAAGGGAATGAATACACATCCAAGAGAGTGATGAGTATTCACAGTGTTGCATTGCTAAAAGCAAAATATGAAATCCTTGGTCTTGCTTTGTGCTTTGGCATCAAAACATTTTTCATTGAGAATGCACTGAAGTGATATGAGTACATTACACAGCCTTATACTGCAGCCTGCTATATTGTTTGTGTAGGGGCTCCTTGAATTCACATTAATTTTTTCCATACAAAATGTTTTTGCTGAAACGTGATACACTAAATTTGAATGGTAACTTATGTTTAAGAAAGTTGAAAGGTTTCATCCGCTTTCTATCTTCAGGATCTGTATATAGGAAAAGAAATATTTTACTAACTCCAGCAGCTTTTTCACTCAATTCCTGTATTTATGTCTTAGCAGTTTTCAAAATGCTGATAGAGGATATGAGAATATTACGGAAAAGATGACAGAACATGAGAGCTGTATAGACTCTGAAATATATTATTGGCTGGAAATCTAGCTATGTGATTTTTGTTTTCTAAACATGCTCGAGAACAGTAGTGCAGAAGTATGACACTTCAGAATCAATCCACTCAGAGACTTTATTATCAGTGATTTTAACTTGTATCAGAAGGAATAGTTAGAAAAAGCAATACAACCAGTGTAGCTATAACTATGTTTGTGTATAGAAAATACTCCTTTTCTTAATAACTTGCTCTCTGTATTATCTTGCCTTTTTTTTAGATGCCAACTCAGTTCGTGGAGTCGGTTTTGGAAGTACATAGTAAATTTGTTCAGCTCATCAACACAGTTTTGAATGGTGATCAACACTTTATGAGTGCCCTTGACAAGGTAACTTTTACTTCCAAGATACAAAGAAAACATGAAAAACAAAATGTGGAGGCCTGTTTCAGGCACATCAGAATTCTTTGGGGTACCAATGCATGCTTACTGGTAGCATTCTCATGTAGTTTTTCTAGCCTAGAATTGAAACACAAAAGAACTTTCAGTGTTAGGGAAAAATACGCGTACAAAGGAAACCAGGTTAATGCTTAACATTTTATTGAAATTTTACTGAAGATGTTTACATCAAAAAGCAGAACACAAAAGCGGAGCTGCCCCATTTAATGTAAATTTAGGTGCAGAAAATAGATAAACTCTGAGACATTTGGCAACTCAGCGAAAGATTTTCTACTCAACATTGTTGAGTCTGCACCTGGAGTACTGTGCCCAGTTCTGGGGATCCCAGTACAGGGGAGACGTGGTCTTCCACACACTGGACACTGTCAGGACGGTAAAGGGAGTGGGATTTGTCTTCTCTGAAGAGAGGCTGAGGGAGCTGAGACTGCTTAACCTTGAGGAGAGGAGGCTCAGGGAAATCTTATCAATGTCTACAAATACCTGGGAGGAGGATGCAAATGAAGATACAGCCAGGCTCTCTTCAGTAGCGCTTAGTGCCAGAGGAAAAAAAAAAAAAGCAATGGGCACAAACTGGAACACAGGAGTTTCTGTGTAAACAACAAGAAGCAGTTCTGTACTGCTCAGGTAATGTAACACTGGCACAGTTTGCTTGCAGAGGTTATGGGATCTCCTCCTTAGAGGCTTTCTGAAAAGTTGCCTGAATGTGGGCCTGGGCAACCGGCCTGTGGGTGGCTTTGACTGAGGAGGAGTGATGGACCAAGTGACCTCCAGAGGTCCCTTCCCACCTCAATGATTCTGTGATAATTCTTACATAAAATTTGAACTTGAATTTGCTTCTTTAATGGTTAAACTCTGAGTGCTGATAATTTTAAAGAGCAGCTTTGTGTAGGTAGAATCATGGTCAGAAGGGACATTTAAAGGTTATCTAGTCCAACTCCCCTGCAGTGAACGGGGACATTCAGAGCTAGCTAAGTTACACAGGGATTGGTCCAGCTTGACCTTGAATGTCTCCAGGAACAGGGCAGCCACGGCATTTCTGGACAACCTTTTCCAGTGCCTCACCACCCTCGCTATAGAAGACTTATTCCTTATATCTAACAGAAATTTACTCTCCTTAAACTTGAAACCATTTCTCCTTGTTCTCTCACAACAGACCCTGTTAAATTGTCCCCTTCTTTCCTGTAGCTCTCCCTTAGATACTGAAAGGCCACTATAGGGTCACCTCACAGCCTTCTCCAGGCTTAACAGTCCCAGGTCTCTCATCCTGTCCTCATAGGAGAGATGTTCCATTCCTTGGATGATTTTTGTGTCCCTCTAGACACTCTGTGCAAGCTAACTACAAAGATTACCTAAAAATTGTTATTACTTCAGTTGCTGATCACAATAACTAGCTTTTTCCATGAGGCAACTACAGTTGAAGTTAAATAAGCGTGATTAGAGGAAGAGGCTTGCATTACTTCTTTGTGGAATGCGTAGCTATGAAGATACTAAAGATAACACTACTAATTGTTATAATTTCTGTAACAGACTGATGGTGCAAAATATGCCTGGGTTCTTGTTGAGATTGAGTGGTTCCTTCTCAAAGAAGAACACATTATCTAATCCATTTTTTTTTACTTTTCCAGATATATCATTGTATTCTTTTCCTGGAGAGTGAACTTATTAACTTCCTATCTATAATTTTAAGCTACCAAATACATACATTTCATTACTATTTTGTGGTACTCTTTTTACAGTAGCAGGAATTTATAGAGTCTTATTCAAAGCTTTAGATGAATTTCAGCCAAGGTTAGTTTGGGAAGACGTAGTGATGAATATGTAAACAATCAAATCATTGGTAACTGTCTGTATCTGTGATATTGAGAAATTAATTACTCAGTATTTTTAAACGTGCTTATTTCAGTACTCTCATGCATCTCAATTACAATTAATCATTTACTGGGAGGTGGAATAATATGAGATTGACTGCTACTTTTGCTGGCAGATAGGCAGTATACTTTTTCTTGAGGTACTTCTTTACTTTGCTCTACTTTATTACAATAGATATTGAAGATTTTAATCTGTTGCCAGTTTTCCATGATCAGTATGAAAATTGCTGATGTTGTCCCCACTATCATTACAAGAGAGTGCTCTAAACTTCAGATTTTTGTATTTGTAATTAAATAATTCACTCTTATGTCACAGGGACTCTTGGGACTTGGTCAAATACTGGAATGTTGAGGCTTTGTACAAAAAAGTTGTTTGTCAGCTCTTCTTTGTAATAATAATAGAAATAATATTTTCTGCATAGGTTCATTTGGACTTCAATTTTTGTAACATGGTATGGAAATTTAAGGAAATTTTTTCTGTACTACTTTAAATTGTACTGAATTTTGAAGCTAAAGATTCAAAACACATTAAATATTCCTTCCAGAGAGGGAACTAATTCCTATGAACTGTGATAATGAAATATTTTGGTCCAGTATTAATTTAAAATTCTAGTTGAAATACGATAGGTAGTTTATAACCTAATCTTTATGATCCTTATACCTTTGTCATGCAATTTCCAATCCTGAACTATTATCTCTTTCCTTTTCTATTTCTTCATATTCAGCCTATCTTCAACTGCCATGTTTTTTTACTATACTGCTTCAAGTTTTCACGTAATAACCCCCAACAATATTTTTTCTTTTCTTTAGTCCAGCAAACATCTAACAACCCGAATAGTTTTCCTTTCTTACTGCCATGGGCACACCAAGTATGTTTTTCACATCAAGCTATATTCTCTTAGAAGTCACTACTGCTGTTCTGCTGCAGTTGCAGTTTCTCTTTTCTACATTCCTTAGTTTTTTCTCATCCATTATTTTAAACCACACGTCTTGCTGTGTACTATAACCTTCATACTTCTATGTTTAAGCTTGTAACTGAAACCAAATTCTCTCTCCTGCTTTTTGTAATTAACTTCTATTCCTTTCTCCACTTTGATTTAAATCCCATATTAAAAATATTCAACAAATTCTCACACAGCAGTAATCCAAACCCATTCACTTGTTTCTTTCATTATCACCCTTTTGTCTTTTTGAGTTTTATGGAATTGGGGAATGTTCTTTACCTGAACATTTTTTGCTTTTTGAAAAATTTCCATCTATTAGGTTTCAAGTCATTTCTATTTTTTTCCTTTCTCTACATTCACGTCTAGGCTTTGACATCAGTTGTTAACTACAGGGAGCCCAAGTCAATCTGCAAAGCACCTGAGTTGGTAAGTGATTAGTATTACTGTAGAATGTAGTAATACTTCTTTACAGCTGTTAGATGAGTCGGCATTAGGGACTGCATGTATATCCATTGCTCTTACTAAGTTATGCTCATGTAAGTATTTGAGTAGTGATTACTTACCCCATACACACATACATGTTTTGGGGGTATGCAAAAAAAAAAAAGAAGTGGTTCTGTTAATATTTGCATAGTCTTTGTGGTTTTGGTGGATCTAGTTTCTATCTTCTACACATGAGCACAGCTTGTGTAGAAGGCTATGAAATTACTTTCATGTAGAGTTTAAGAGTATGTTGGCATATGTATTTTCTCAAGCTTGACAAGTAGGTTTGGGTTTGTTTTCTCTTTTTTTAACTTGAGCTGGCCAAGTACTGTGACAACTTATTGAAGAAGTCAGCAAAAGGAATGACTGAGAACGAAGTAGAAGACAAACTTACAAGTTTCATTACTGTTTTCAAGTACATTGATGACAAAGATGTATTCCAAAAGGTAACTCTCGATAATGAAATGTAAACAATATGTGAAGAATATGGTTATGCTTTTAAAAAATTCTTATAGCTGTTTTTTTTCCACACAGTTCTATGCCAGAATGTTGGCAAAAAGATTAATTCATGGTTTATCTATGTCTATGGACTCTGAAGAAGCCATGATTAATAAACTAAAGGTAATGTAAACACTGTTCTAATGCAAAATAATAAAAGAGTATGTAATGTTAGGAGAGAGCAGCAGAGGGTGCCAGAGATAACTTAGCAATCAGTAGATTACATTTCCAGTAGTCAAAAGGAAAACTTAATTTCTAAATAGCATATGAAAAACATGTTGTGAAGTATCCTTCGTATGTTTGAGGTGTTTCATTTTAGTTTTAAATTTTGAGATAGCTTTGTAAAGTGTGTTTAAATACCTCATATTTATGTTGGAAAAGCACCTATCCTAAACCAGCTTTATCTTTTTAAAAATACAGTTGTTTATACAAATTAATGAATAGAAAGCGGAATTAAGAAAAGTTGGATATTTTTCTTCTGTAATGCTTGTTATTTATTATAAATACTGTTAAATACTCTAACATTTCTGCCAACTAGATTTTCTTATCAGAGTAGTAAATGTATGAGTGTGCATTATTTGTATAATAAATGTTGTTTCACAATAAAACTTGTTAACAATCTCTTTTTCACAGCAAGCCTGTGGTTATGAATTTACCAGCAAGCTTCATCGAATGTATACAGACATGAGTGTTAGTGCTGATCTCAACAATAAATTCAACAACTTTATCAAAAACCAGGACACAATTATAGATTTGGGAATTAGTTTTCAGATATATGTTCTACAGGTACTAATGTATGTTTATTACTGTTGAGTTATTCGTATTTCATTTGTATGTTTTGATAATAAGTGAAATATTTTTCTAACTAGAAGTACTTCTCGTATGACACCTCGTGATCAGTGTGGAATACTTTGCTTTCATAGTTTGTCTTTTTAAAATTAACTTGTTAGCATACTAACCAGTAGTGCTGTAAAACGCCATGTGTTTTTTAATTTGAATTAAGATCTTACTGGGGGATATTAGTATTAAAAAAGGGCCAGTGAAACTGCTAGTTTAAGTTACTGTCTAATGACAGTATGCACTGTAAATCTGTTGAGTAGTGTTTTACTTTTTATTGAAGTATACATGGTATGAAAATGTTAATACTTTTATTTTTTTCCTGATACCCTTAGGCAGGTGCATGGCCTCTAACTCAGGCTCCTTCTTCTACATTTGCAATTCCTCAGGAACTGGAAAAAAGTGTACAGATGGTAGGTTAGTAGGAGGCTTCTTGTAGACATGTGGAAATGTAAAAGAACACACACACACACACAAAAAACAAAAAACATTAAAAAACCCACCAAGATCATTTTAACAGACAAAAGCCTGAGCTGTTTCATTTTGTTTGTAATTCGTGGCTCCTCTTTCTCCAGTCAAATGAAATTTGGAAACATCACACAGATGACTTACTGCTTTCTACGTATGCATTTCTGTAACCTTTATTTATTTATTTTTTACTCTGTGATTAATGAGGAAGATACTAGTAAATGCAATCAGATGAACTTACTTGACTTTTAGCTTTAAAACTAATTCCTAATATTTTAGATAAGATCCTGATTTTTAGATAAAATTGTATTTTATCTAAATAATGTATATAATCTAAACGAAGTATTATTAAATAGATTAAATTGTGGGTACAGCTTTCTTGTGCCATGTTTCATACAGACCAGATTTCATTTGAAGTCAAGATTCATGCATGCATACTTCTTTAAAGTTAATTTTGAAAATTGTCAAAGTAGGGGATGCTTCCATTTTCATAAATTTCTGCTGTCAGTATAACTTTGAAAATGTATTTCCTAAGTCATGAATGTGTGCTTCTTTGTGGAAAATGATTTTGGTAGGTTTCCAAGTTTTGCAAGTTTAACTGCAGAAATTCAAGAACTCTTGTTGACATCGTGGTTCAGAGATGTTTGCCATTTGTGTAGTTTTAACTAACCTGAAAATCAAATTAGAAAAGTGACTAATGTTATGCTTCCCTTCAAGCTTGCTTTTCTGAAATTATCCCTTAAAAATATATAGAAGAATGTAAGGTGAGATTCAACTTGAGAGTTGTGTAGCTGACTGGTGGAAATACCTTGCTTGCATTTTTTCAGGGATGTTTGAAAAAATCAGTAAAATGGGAAATGAAAGTCATAAAATACGTTTTCATATGGAATTGGATCAAACAAAATAATAAAATGTAATGAGATTGATTGCTAGAAACTCCGAAGAGTTCTGTTGGATTCAGTAGAGTTAATACTTCATAAGACTGCTTTTAGCTACAGTGTATTAGGATTTGAGAGTTTGAATGTCTCAGCAATTTTTCCTATTTAGTCATCAAGCTGTGTGTTAATTTGCTCAAGTAGTTTGGTAAATGTTGCTCAGACATTGCCTATCTTTCAAAAGAAGATGCAATGATAGACTCATCACCAATCATCACCAATGTCTGAATCCAATGTGTTGAACATCGAACCAGTGTTTCTTCACTGGAGTGGTAGTGTGATAATAATAATAAACTATTATAAGTTTGTGTGATTAATTGAAGGACGTTTTATTTTGCAGTTTGAATTATTCTACAGTCAGCATTTTAGTGGAAGGAAGCTTACTTGGTTACATTATCTCTGTACAGGTAAAAATAAGTGCTTTGCTAAAGATGCTCTATACAACTGACAATTGTTGGATGTCCTTTTCAAATGATAATAGACATTGAAAGTGGAATGTTATGCTGCGTCTTAAGTCAGTTGACTGTTTTTGCATCATAAAGTAATTTATTTTGTAAAATAATTAACATTTGCAGCTTACTGTGCCCCAAGTTTATGTTTTGTAAACTTGCCTATGCTATCTGTGATTTATTAAATCCAGGGAAAACTCAATTTATATGTATATAATGGACATTCTTCATTGCCTTTTAAAGAAACTAACAATGTTGTGATTTTTTTTTAAAGACATGTCTTTTATTTTGTTTTTAAATTTTTGCTTGGACCAACTTTCCTGTAATCACTATTCTGTGATTCTGTGTAAGCTGTTAGTAATGGAAGGTTGCACAGTGCAAATTATTGAGGCTGTTGGGAATTTGTTTTTTTATATTATGTTATTCAAATTCATCTTTTTTTTTTTTTTTTTTTTTGTAAAAACACTACTGTTGTAGTATTCGTTATTAATCAGAATTCATTTTTTGCAAACTATCTCCTATAAATGTAAAACTAAAACATCAATTTTTGTATTCCCATGCCATATGCAAGCGTGAATTGCATGTCTGGAATTGCATGTTTGTTGGAACTGTGAGTTGCATTTCAGATGATATTTCATTGCATTCAGCCACTTTACAAAATGCTGCTTATATCATTGTAGGTGAAGTAAAAATGAATTATTTGTGCAAACCTTATGTAGCCATGGTCACAACGTACCAAATGGCAGTGTTGCTTGCCTTCAACAACAGTGAAACTGTCAGTTATAAGGAGCTTCAAGACAGTACGCAAATGAATGAGAAGGAACTGACAAAAACTATCAAATCCTTACTTGACGTTAAAATGATCAACCATGACTCAGACAAGGTATGCAGCAATGATATAAAAATGTTTCGTGTTCTCGGTGTTGTGGTTCTACTGTTTGTTGAGGTCTTTCTAATACAGAATTGGTTTTGATCTGTCTTATTTACAATCGTAAGTCTGTATTTATCAAGAAAGAGACAGGAAGAAGTTAGACAGTATTTGTGAGGTTGTGACCCTTCTGGATGCCCATCTATGCAACCTATTGTAGAGAACCTGCTTTAGCAGGGGGATGAGACTGGATGATCTCATGAGGTTCCTTCCAACCCCTGCAATTCTGTGATTCTTTAATTCTGTTTGTTTCTTCTGCCTCTAACAGCAGAGTCTGCTACAAATAATGTGAGAACTGTTCATTGTTTCTGTTGAATTTCATCTGTGTGGCTTTTGACGCACTACTGTTGGAGGAGAAAACCCTTTGCATTGGTGTCTTTAAAAGTTGTAGGACCATAGGAAAGTGCCTGATTGGTATAGCAATGAGTCGTAATCTTTAAAATAAATCTGTGGCATTAAGAGACCAAAAGTAACAGCAGCCATATTCTTCCTTGCTGACACGTTACAGGAGGAGGAGGTAGGAGGTCAGAGAACAAGGAGGGCTCGTGTGAGAGGATTTTTGTTGCGTTTTGCCACTCTTATCATTCCACGTGTTTCATGCATTTCCAGTACTATTTGCGTAATGTATCATTTATCTTCTTTTCCCGTACAGCAAAGGGCAGAAGTTTGTTATGTATGAAACACTATAGAGGTACCCATGCATACAGTACAAACTTTAGCATGCACTTCCAGCTAGCCCAGAAAGCCTGAGTTATTTAGACAGTATCAAGCAGAAGAAACTGATAAGCTGTTCACATGCCTTAGAAGAATAAATCCAAAGGTGCTCTGACAGCTGCTTTTTTTTAACTGGGAAAATATTAGAAAATGGAAAGTGAGATCACAAGGAAGGTCTGATGCTTGACTGAAGCATAGGACATGCTTCGGGTATTTAGAAATGAGCTCAGGTTGGAACAGTGGTTGGGAAGATGTTTGTTAAACCATGGGTGAAATATATCACTGGGAGCTATTACAGAAAACTGTGAGATTTTTTGTAATTTCAGAAAGTTGCCCTTTATTTAAAGGATGTACATTTATTTATGTTGGTTGTATATGGTTTTACTAGTTTGCTTATGAATATGTTATTGAAGATGGAATGTTATAGCTTTCTAATCCTTTCACCTTTTAATGTTTACCACAGCACTTTCTGGTTATTTAACTTAAATGTTATTCAAACATGTCTGCTAATTCTGCTTCTTTTCTGCTCCATCCAGCAATTTGAGAGCTGATCTGTATATGGTTTATCATTTAAGTATTGAAAAAGTCAGTGGCTTAAACATTGAAATTATACGTATTTCTGCCTGTATCTGAGCTACACAGCAAAGTGCAGTGTATTGTATGTTGCAGTTTGCTTTTGAAAGAAATTTTTGACAACTTTATTGGTTCATTAAAATCATTCTTTTTGAGTTCATGCACAACACAAATTTTCTTAGTCTGTATTTCAAACATGGCAGCACAACAGTGCTAAAATATAATGACAGCTTAAATTTTTAAAGCTTTTGATCTTTGCCCTTTCATGTTAAATTTTCCATACATGTCTGGGTATTGTATTCTAATAAAGAATATAGAATACGTAATTAAAAATATTCATTTTTGGTGTATTTTTAGATAAATATTGACTAAGACTCTCAAAGTGTTTGCCTTTGAGGCAAGCATAGTTTGACAAAGTCTAAGAAGCGCAGTAACTTTCTTCTGCCAGTGATTGGTAATACTTGTACAGAACCTTGCCTGGAAATTGCAAAGATCTGTCAGGTTGTCCTGGTAGGTGAATCTAAAGGTGTTGGGACTGCTGGGAGCAGTGCCTGCTTAATGAAAGAAATGGACTTTGGCCTGGGTGTGTATTGGGGGGGAAGGAGATACATCTGAGGAAAAAATGAGAAATTACACGTAGTTCTGGAGCTACAGAAGTACAGTAGTAGTTGCAGTCCATCAACTGTTCCTGCTATAGCACAGTAAAATGTTGAGGCTTTTTTTCCTTAAAGAAAAGCAACTTTAGTAATATTTATGAGTGACACTTTGCTCTCTTGATGTTCTGCCATAAATAAATGCAAATCCTGCTTTCTTTGCAGGGATAAAATTCTATTTAAAAGGAGAGTGTTTGCAATTAAGACAAACTGTTGAAGTATTAAAAAGTAAAATAGCTCTTCAAGTATTGAAACTGAAACTGCTTTAATTGCTTATCAGTAAAGACGCTCTTTCTAAGGTTCAGACTAGATGTTAGGAAAGATTTCTTTACCGAGGTAGTGTTAGGCTCTGGAACAAGCCACCCAGAGAGGTGGTTGGTGCCCTGTGCCTGTCTGTGTTTAAGAGACATTTGGACAATGCCATTAATGATGTGTTTTAACTATTGGTCTGTCACCCCTGAAGTAGTCTGTCAGCTGGGTTTAATAAGCTTTGTAGGTCGCTTCCAACTGGAACTACTCTGTTTTATTCATAATAGAGGCTTACTAGCAATATTCATGTTTGTCAGAGTTCCTTATAGTGTTTTACAAAAGAGACTGCATTTCTGTGTTAGTTGAACTGCAGCTTAAAAAACTGACCTGGTTCAATTGGCTCATTAACATTTTCAACTGCAAATTTGCTGAAATTGCTCTTATGTATGCAAGCTTCTACATGGAATTTTCTTCCCAGCAAATCCTTGCTGCTTATTCTTTTTTGTCTCCATTTCTATTTTCTTTTAAAAAAAAAACTCTTTATTGCAGGAGGATGTGGAGGCAGAGTCTACATTTTCATTAAATATGAACTTCAGCAGTAAACGAACGAAATTTAAAATTACTACATCAATGCAGAAGGACACACCACAGGTAAGTATTCTTTGATGTTTGTAAGCTGAATAGCTTAGGAAGCTTAATTTTCTAAAACTGAATTGATTATATTAGTTTGGTGTAAGCAGGTATAGGATTTACATCATTGTGAAGATGTTGTTTAAATTTGAAGCTTACATGCTGCAATTTTTTTTGTACTTAAAATACAGGTAACAAAAGGTAGGATAGGGAATAATAAGAAAAAGATGAACAAGAGCTATTTCTCCTGTAGCAAATGGAATTGGTATTTAACCTGCCTTAAGTAATGAGACTTTTGTTGGTAGTTGTTGGCAACTTATTTCAGAAACAGCAGAACCAATCAAACTGTTCCCATGGTTTTGTTTCCCCTCAACTAAAATGAGCTCCAGTGCTGATAATCCAGGTTCCTTCTGTATCTCCTAAGGCATAGTCTTCTGTACAAGAGTTACATGTGCTGCTAAACTCAATACCTTACTGTAAATTTTGCCTGCTTTTCTCTCTAGCAAAGGCTTCGGATATCTTCTTCCTACCTACCTTGATTTGCATGAAATCTGGTATTTTTGATTTACAGAAGCACATTATGTGAAATTGACCTTTATCTAGATTACTGAGTGTGTTAATTGATAAATCAATAAAGTAAGAAGTTTAGATTCAAGATACTTTTATGATGTATTTATTAATCTTGCTACATTTAAAGCTTTACTTTTCTTCCTATGGTGCAGGAGATGGAGCAGACCAGAAGTGCTGTAGATGAAGATAGAAAAATGTATCTTCAAGCTGCTATAGTCCGTATCATGAAAGCACGTAAAGTGCTGCGACATAATGCTCTTATTCAGGAGGTAAGATAAAATCCTCTTCCTAAGATTTCATGAAAATCTTTGTGATTTGATGAAAATAATCAGGATAGATAGGTAACACATCCAACTGCAGAATTACCATGTCAATACTAGTACTTCAGTGAAATTCACTAGTGAAAGTCTACTTTGAAACATAGTACCTACCTGTGATCACTCAGTCCTATAAATATGTCTTAGCACTAAAGTAGTAAGCATCTCTGTGCTTGTTCTTTCCTGTTGGCTGCCTCTATGTCTGCAGATGTTGTCTCCTATAAGAATCACTGCCAGAACCGTAGGTTCAGTTGAAGACACCTGAGTATGGATAATTTAGACATGAAATTTCCACAGAAGCTTTTAGCCAATTTTGCACTCTAATTGTAATTTTGGATTTTGTCCTAATTCATAGCTTACATTTCAGAAGTTGCTTGAGTATGTAGATATGCTCTTAATCTCCATTTTACCTTAAGTACTACAGTTGTCTAGATTTAATATTCTAGATTAATGATATGTGAACTGTCATGAACTGGCTGGGAAAAAGGTGTTAAGTCTTTCATTTTTCTCCCACTTTTCCATCTGTGGTAGTTGCCTGCCTAATTGCATTTCGTGTTCTTACCTAACCTTTCCTCGTATCAACCAGTTCCTAGTCTTGGTTTTCTCAGCCTTCTAAGGCATTCTTGCATCTCCTGAGCTTTGCTGAATAGCCTCAGAGCAGGTTGGTGGGAGAGGGTTTGCTGCTTTATTGGACCATTTTGAGCATGGAGGTGGAGAGGCATTCAGTCATTTTAAGATCTGTATGTTTTCTGTCTTGTGGTAATGAAGGAAATAGTTACCACACCTACCAATTAATTTTAATTTCCTAAGCAAAATAACCAGCTGAAGAGAGCTTGTAAGTCCATACTGACTGGTGAAATGTGAAACATCTGAAAGATTTTGGATTTTGAAGTAGAGCTTGTACACAGATGCCCTGAAAGCAGGCTTTCTTTTGGATATCTGATTTTGAGCGTCTGAAAGATGAGGCAGCATAGGTCCTGACTACTTCTCAAAACCCTTGGTTATTTGGTCTTCTGTTACTTAAATTCATGCAATTATGATGAAATACTCTTAAGATTTTTCTCTGAAAGCTAGAAAATGGTAGGTAAGCCTTGTTTTATCTTTGAAAATACATTTTCCCCTGTATTCTCACCTTCTTAGAAAATACTCAAGAGACTTAAAACCAGTATAAATGATGTTAAATGATACGAGGTTACATATTTTGACAGCTTAGAAACAAAAACTCCTGTATGTTGTTTTTCCTCTTTGGCTGATTCAGGAGGCACTATCTGACGTGCCTCAGATGCATTTTGCTCATTTAGTACCCTTGCAGAATACAACAGTCTGTTAACAACAGGAGCTTTTTAAAGTTTTTCAATAGGAATGGATATTTTGACTGCTAGTTAGCTTAAAAAACATTGGAGATTAAAGTTGACACTCCATTTATCTATCACCAATTGCATCAACCTGAATTACATTTTTTACCTTAGCTTTTAATTAAATTTATGACATGTGTAAACCATACTCATCTAGTCCATAGTTCTCAGTTTTGAATATTACTTATATTCTGGGTTAATTAGAACATTTAAAACTGATGGTTAGATTTCTAAATAACTGTTATCTACGTTGCTGTGTAGCATAGAGAATCAGCGTGGATCTAAATAAGCATCTGTGCAATTCAAGCATTAAGTTGAAGCTGTACAAAAATCCTTTAGAGTTAATTTTTTCACATTTTTAGCCACTTGAACTAGTCTGTGCCAGTCTTCTTTTGTCTACTTCAGCTAAACTTTTAGTGGGGCATAAGCCAGATTCCTTAAAATTTGTTACGTTTCTGTTGTACGGTCTGAGATATTGATGGACTCTTGGGCATTTCTGAAACTGTTGCCAGATTGTAAATATAAAGATGAAATCTCACGTTAGGTGAAAATTTTACTTAGTTACATCTCCATTGAGCTCAGTAACTTCTTCAGCCTTATGGCATAGATTGCCAAGTGGTTCTGGGTTGAACATGCTTAGCTTTCTCATTAGAGCTTTGTGGAAACTTCTGTTGAGCATGTAGACTATGCACAGTTTGACTGCTCAGCTTCCTTATTTTTCCTGCTAGCCTTGTATTAAGTTTTTATTAACTATCAAGAGACTTTCTATTTTTTAACACATTCTTTTGTGACATTTTTACTCATTTTAGTAATATACACACTCACTTGTTACATTTACCATAGTGTTTATGTACTTATTAATAACAAATTCCCTTAGAATTTCTAGTCTGACTTCCTCAGGGGTAAGAATGAGTCTTTTGAATGGAAGTCTGTCTACTATGAATAGTTAATATTTTCTTGCCTCATTTATGTTTGTTTTTTTTTTCCTGTGCTACAAGAGCAACATTATATTTCTGGTAGAGATGGGACTGAAACATTCTGAAAAAATAAGAGCTCACGGTCTGATTAACTTCAATTCCAGCAAACTGCAGCGCTGGGCATTTCACTTAGGTTGAGGTGTCCAAGAAAATACTCAAGATTGTTGAAAATTTTACTTTTCAAATTTGGCTGTCTAGTTCAGTAGGATAGGTTGCATGTTTAATATATTTAAACTTCATTATTTGAAAACGGATAAGCTCTTACTACAACATTCCACGCACATTTTTTGGGAATTTGCTTCTTATCAGCTTATATATCTTTAACAGTGACTATAATGATATAAAGAAAACACAGTGCTTACAGAATTTTATTAAGTGAAAGTATCCTCTCTATATTTTTATGATAACAAAAGTGATGATAAGGAAAATTGGGTTGAACTTTAGAAGTAGTTTCAAGTGAAATTTAATAATTTATAGTTGTATGAACTTTTACAAAAGCTAAAATAACGACATTCTTAGGTCTGTTAATATGCAGTCAAACTGAACCAATGAGTTAAACAAAGTGTTCTGACATTAATGTACAGGGATGCTTTGAGTTCTGTAAACGAACTGTCTGCTTTATTTAATTCTGTATTTAAAAGTAAACTGATCTTTGCCTTTTTTTTTTTCTTGTTAGCATTAATAACTATTGTAAATAAATATAACGCATAAAATATATCTTTCTTTTGCAGGTAATTAGCCAATCAAGAGCTAGGTTTAATCCAAGTATCAGCATGATTAAGAAGTGTATTGAAGTTCTGATAGACAAACAGTACATAGAGCGAAGCCAGGCCTCTGCAGATGAATACAGTTATGTAGCATGATGTTGCTATCCTGCAGGTATGATTGTAAGGAGATCATTGCTGTCACTGTTTGGTGTGTTCCTGTGGGAAGAGGCAGGCCTGTGCCTCCATAATTGGTCACTTGGCAGCCCCCGTTTTTCTGCTGTTTACAACATCACCAGTGCCATGTCATGAGCGTCAATGAAAATGCCTATAGATATTTCAAGCTCATGTCATTATGACATTTCTTAAAACTTTACTAAAAGAATGAGTGAAGTATTGCTGAGATGTGGAAATTTGGTTGGGTACCATGCTTTTTTTTTTTTTTTCCTCCCCTTTCACGTTTGCAGTTGATGTTTTTTAATGTATCTTAAGACAAAGTTAAAAAAAAAAAAAAAAGAAAAAAAAAAAAAGAAAACCTAAATATTGTAATATGACAGATAACCTAATAATTGTATCTACATTAAAAAGAAAAAAGAAAAGATGAACATGATACTGCTGCTTGTCAAATAAAAAAAATAAAGTTAGATGATGTGTCTCTCGTCATTCTAGAAATGAATATAACATTATTGTCTTTAAATATTCAGGCTGGGAAGAGTAAAAATAATGTGTGCTCAGGTGTTGAATAACCTTCCAAGTGTATCTGTCATAAGGAATCATTTATGTAAAGCTGAGTGACAGGTATGTTACGTTTCATGTGAGTGTGAAAAAATGGCCTATAGTTAAGTGCACAGCTTGTTTTCTTGAGGTCAGTCTAACTTCTTACATTTTTACTGCCTGAAGGCCTAGTCTGTCTCTCTTAATCTCACAATGGAGGAAGATATTAGAAGAGAAAATAAACGGATGTTTGAGGGAATTTAACTTGCAAAGTTCACAGATAGGAATGATGATTGCAAATATTGAAGATACAGTTTGTGAAATCACCGTTACTGGGAAAGAATATAGCAGACTGACTGGTAATTGAAAAATGTTTTCTTTCATGATGTATTGGGTAGAAACAACCCATGGATGGATATCTGTGTTGTTTCTACATGAAGCATTTTTCTTTTCCCGCCTAACCCATATGGTTTATCATCTGATATTTTCCCCCTCCTCAGTGAGGTTTCTGGTTGTTTTGCCATTTGTCCTTGTATTGTTCATGAGGGATAACATGTGACCATTCACTCTCAGACAAGCAAAATATAATTTTTTAAAGTGCTACCTCTACCACTGCAGATAATTGAAATAAGTGCATTAATAGTGTGAACACAGTTGAATGCCTGCTGCAGAAAAGAGCTTTCTCATGTCTGTGCCTGCTATTAGTTATTGAAAGGATAAATACTAACTTCAAGTGCTCTATTTGGATGGTTTTTGAGTGCATATAGATAGATAGAAAGATTAGATCAATGTTTTTGTAGGTTTTTTGATATTTCATCACCACTAGAAGACCACAGATCAAGAATTAATTTAAAAAGGAAAAAGCTTTTGGGTAGAGCTCTTTTCTTTTGTTTTCTGTCTTCTTACATGTATGGATGGTTTGGCTTCTCTTTGACTCATGTTGTTTCTGGCTGTTTTCTCTTATGTAGCATCACATTTGTATGTAATCTGGAGGGTATGATAAACTTCCTATGGTTAACTAGGGAATGCATCATAAAGTTGATAAGTTATGTCGATTTTGCTGAGGGCAAATAAAAGACAATAAACAACAAGGGGTGCAAAATATTTCTTCAGTATTTATGGCACTAAGATTTGGGTTTTTGAAGTTAGATTTATGCTTTAAAGAAATGGGTTTTGAATTGATCTTGATACAGCGCAGCAGGTTGCTGTCCATTGTGTTAGTTCAGAGTTGTGCATGGGTGTTTGAAAATAGCACACGGTGTCATTAGACAAAGTAAATAGGACTGATACTAGCTAAGATTCACTACAGTGCCTTTTAATCTATTTAAATGTGAAAAAATTATGTGCCCAATGAAAAATATAGGAAAAAAAAACAAAACAAAACAAAACAAAGAATATTCTATGACACTATAGAAAAAAAAAGAAAAATATTGCCTGAACATTGAATAGTGGAATCATCAGAGCCTTTCTGCAGAAAACAAGCTAGCAGTGACACCAAAGCTTCTGAAAACAAATGTTTAGCTTGTAACTTGTGTGAGTCAACAGACTTTAAGCTCATTTGTTCATAAAATATTCATAAAGAATGTGTTTAAATATAGATTGTAATAGGAACATTTTAAGACTTGAGTTTGAAAAAGCCCTGCTAAACTTATTTTTAAAATCACTTCATAGACAAAGCAGACACTTCACTGCTCTAGCCCAAACGTGTAAGGTTTTAGCATTACCTTATCTCTGAATTTTTGCATACTTAAAACATCAAAAGTAATATTTTTTAGATAAGAGTGCTGTTGAGTTGAGACATGTTTAGTGAGTTAAAAACATTCATATATTTCAGCACTGTTGGCATCTCTAGACATCTTTCATAATTATGCACAAACTCGGTCTTTTCTGTGCCTCTTGGGAAACATGGCTATAGCTGGGAAACGTTTTAAATTCTGCTTTATAACTCACACCTTCCCCTTAAGGGAGAACATAGTGAAAAGACTCAGCCTTCTGTAGTTGGGTTAGGTCACTGAAGTCATTGTTGGCACACAGTGATACAGCACATTGTGTAGTGCTACAGCTTGGCAACTAAATATGTCTGGAAAACATCATTTCAAATTACAAAGTGCTAATGAGTATTATCAGGAGAGGAAAATTATAGGAAGAGATCTAAAAGTGCCTTGAATTTTTAATTGTAGATTTTTTTTTTATTTGTTGTGAGCCTATTAACATCTAGGACCTGTTGGGTTTTTTTTGGAATCCACACAGCTGAGTCTGGGATCGTGTTGCTTTGACGCATCTCGTATTTTTCTAAGATTAAAATGCATTTTACCTGTCTTGTTGTTTAGTATTGATGATTTCTGTGCTAACTGGAACTGTACTGCTATTATGTTAAAATTCTCTAGACTGATTGGCATATTCCAGGCAAGGAAAATACATGCCTGTATTTTATTGTGCTCATACATACAGTGCTGGTAGTGCTATGGAAGGTACTTAACATTGATGTAACATGAGAAACATGAGAAAGTTTTGAATGTTGATAGTCTGTTACTTTTTAAAAACCTTTAAATGGGGATATTGCTTTTCCAAATAAGGAGCAGAGAAGAGTAATTGATATAGTTTGTAAACTGATAATTTTCAGCTGTGGTTAGAAATCCATTTCTTAGTCTTCAAGTTAATTTTAAGAGCAAGCCTTCAGCATAATTCAGGTTCATGAGTAGAATATATACTTTCTATCCTGGGGCAAATATGTTAGGACTGCCCATGCATTACATTTATGATAAGTTCCTAATTAATCTGAGGTATTGCAGTCTATGAAAACATATTTTCCTGAAGCAGTTGTTCTTGGGCTGGTTATTTGGTCTTGCTACACTGAATTGGAAATTATCCTTACTTTACTCGTTTACAGTGAGCTATCCTGCACTTCCAAGTTGATAACAGAAGACTTTTTGCAAGTTGCTAGGCAAAAGAAACATCAGAACATTGTTTGGGTAGAATAATTTTGTAACAGCACAAGACTTTACTGAACACAAATTTGTGTTTATGGTTTTAAAGAAGTGGGGAAATATGACAATAAAAGCAACCTGTCGTGCAAGCAACTTGGAGGTGCATTTCTAGTTCTCTGTTTGGTGGAGTTCACAATTGCATCAGTAGGGGAAAAAGGTACCAACCAGCATAATGAAAGAGGTAGATGAGGAGGCTGAACAGTTGGACTTGTTTTTAGAAGTAAAACATTTTACTTTACAAAATGTCTTTGAATGGATAAACGTATGTATATGATCAACACGATGACTATTTAATCCAGTACTGATGATGAATTGTTACGGGTTTGGTGAAGAAGTCTGTTAGTATTTTCAAAGGAGTACATTTGACATTACTGTGAGTTGGTTCTGTTCTTCTCAACCATCACAGGTGCGTGCAGCACAAGATTTGAAAGCACCTGAGGCTCTTCAGTAAGTCCAGTCTTGCATATGCACTGAGAAGAAAAGGAGTCTTCTAAGCCTGAACAGCAGTAAGAAGCAAGTAAAGAGGGTTACAGTTCTTTAGGAAATTACTTTCACCATTCGTTTTTACACCTTATTAATGACCCTTCTGACTCAAAGCTATTTAAAGTGAGCTAAGCAAAACTGAAATGCTCACTTGTTTGTCTTGACTCAAGTGGGTAATGATCAGTTTGCATTAAGTTAAGGATAAGGTTGCGGGTACATTGCAAGTCTGTTATAAGCTAGAGTAAAAACTTTTCACTTAAAACATAAGTGAAGTAGAATCTGTAATGAATTTACCTAGCCAGATACCTCCTCTGATATTTTATTCTCAGGAGGGCCTTACTGATTTAGAGACTATAGAAAGTAAAGTAGGATGGATGAAAGACTTCCTAGTGTCTGCATTGCCAAGGCATCAGTGGGCCTCATTCTTAGCATAATCACGGAGTGGTGAACACTGTAATTATCACCTACTGGTGGAAGCTGGTTATTCTGATGTTAGTTGAACTATTTTTTTCTGCAGCTGTGAACAGAGGCACAGTCCCTGCCAACAGTAAAGAGTGGCTTGAAAGCAGTTTTGAAACTTGACAGGTTGCTGTTGTCTATCTTTTGGTACTGGTTATATCATCTATACTTTACTAAAAAATATATAGGATTGAAATTGTAACAACTCTGAAGTTTTTGACATTATGTTCAACCGTTTCAGTTCGGTTCCTTAAGATGTATTTGGGCTGCTCTCTCTACACATGGATATGTTTTCCTCTCTTCCTTCTTGCCAGCTTAACAAAACTTGTGATCTTCAAGAAGAGACTTGAATTTGGGAGAAGAGCATTATAGCCAAATAATTGTTAGATTTCAATAGATAAAATAAGCAGCCTAGGACATATAACTGTAACTCAAAATACTGTGTAGTCATCTGTGTATTTGAAGCCAGTTTCAGGGATTTGTTTTAAGCAATGCACATTTGGCTCCTTCAGAATGGTGAGATAGATGGAGTGAGGAATTGCCTAGAACTAAGAGGAAACTGTAAGTACATAGATATGAGCAGTCTACAGCCTCTTATGCTTTGGAAGTGATTTTAGTGCTTCTGTGAGCTCAGGATGTAGCACATCCACATTTCCTTCAGGATTTGTTCTGTTTTAAATGAGAGGCTATAAGTACTGCTGCCAGTCACTGTTCAAGAACCAGGAGCCCTGACATTTCAAATCTTTCTTTATTCTTTTCTTGACCAAGACAGTACCCCTATAAGGCAAGCACAGTCTAGTAATTCTCTTGGAAGCATACGATCCTCAATTGGCTTGAAGTAAATTGGTCAGTTGGTCAAAAGCAGTGAATTCTTACCTATTTCCCAAGGCTTTTAATGTATTTTTCATTGCAGTGTTCAAGGGACTAAGAATAGTATCTGGGACATGGGATCTGTACATTAGTTGTAAAGATATTTCCATGGAAATTTGGGATGTGGGTAT